GATTTTGACAGAAAACATTTTTTATTGTAATCTCTTTATAGTAAACATCCCATCTACACTTGACGTAAGTTGTCTTTTGCTGCTGTTGTGTGGTCTTTTAAATCAGTGAAGTTAGGTTAGTTGAACTGTAGCATGGTCCGTATCATTTTTGTCTTTTTAATTGAGAGGAGAGTTCTGAAATCTCTTGATTGGATTTCTCTTTCTCTTCACAGTCTTACCTGGTTTTGCCAAAGTGTTTTCACAACTTTCTTACAAGTTCCACAAATAACCTAGGAGTCTGTATTCCTGATTAAGTTGGCTTTATTATGGTAGGATTTAGTCGTTTGGTTCCTTTGTTTGTTAGCAGCAGCACAGCTACTCCAGCTTTCTTCTCACTGTATTAGATTATTTTTGTACTCTTGTCCCTATGTATTTAAAACTGGTAAATAGTACATGTTATTGGGGTCTATTTAGACATTTTCGTGTGACTGTTAGATCTTGAACTCACCATCTTACTAGTTTTTAATGACCCCATTCTGTTTTATTTTTGTTTTTCTTACCTCTCTGAAATAAATGGATGTATGAATGTTTGACTTATTTTAGTGTACATTATCGTATGCCACTTTCTGTGTTGTGTTAGAACCTCACACTTCACTTTCTCATCTTTATTCTTTTGTTATATTCGTCTGCCCTAAATCTTGTAGTTTCTATTAGTTTTACTTTAAAATAGGCCATGTTTGTTTGTTTTGAGATAGTGTTGTGTGTAGCCAGACTGACCTTGAACTTAATACACTAAGGATGATCGTGAATACCTAACACTTGTGCCTAATCCTTCTGCCTTCACTTCCCAAAGGACAGTATTGTAGGCATGTACCATCACTCCTGACATTAGTCAATTGTTTGGTTGTTTGGTTGGTTGGTTTTAGTTTTTTGAGACAGGGTTTCTCTGTGTAACAGCTCCGGCTGTCCTGAAACTTTTTTGTAGATCAGGCTGACCTCGAATTCAGAGATCCACCTGACTCTGTCTCCCAAGTGTGCCACTCCTGCCTGATAAGTAAAAATTATAAGAAAAGGGCAACACCGCCAGCACAAGAAATCCAATTAGGTCAAATCAAACCAAATCAAAATCCCATTGTTTTATTAAGAATAACGCTCTCGGATGGCCAAGTGCATGGTGGGGAGACAGGACAGCCGGGAGCCCATGCAGACCCAAAAACAACTTGTTTCTCCTCTGAGAGCTCTTTTAAATACCCTGTGGGAACCGTCCTGACCCCCCACTCCCCAGAGGAGGGGTCAGGACCTGGCATGCTGGGATTTGGAGTCCAGAGCAGTGCAACTCCCAGGCCAGGGGCTGGGTCCACACTCCCAACTTAACACTGCCCAGCTAGTCAGTTGTGTTATAGAGAAATTTAAAATATTTTTAAAAGTTTGTATGTTATATTTACTACAGATATAAACATTCCTAATCTGAAGGACCTGAGATCTAATACTTAATATCCATGTTTTAAAATCTCAGATTTTAGAACATTTCAGATTATTAGATTAGGAATTTCACTGGTAATATCTATATGCCAATAATTCCAAATCTGAAAGTCTCAGAAGTAGAGCTGTATAGCTTGTATTTCTAATAAATTTCCATCTGGTAATACTGTTTTTATACTACCTAAAGAATTTTCTACCTTATACAGCTACTGTCAATAAATTCTTTCAGCTTCCCTCTAACAAAAAAACTTGCCTTCATTTGGAAATTTTTACTTACACTGCATTGGCAGGATCTTTCCCCCAGAACGTTAAAGACTGTGCTCCAGTCATTTTTTATAACTAGACATCTACTGACATTTTATCTTTGTTCTTTTTTAAATGTAATTTTCCCCATATGACTGCCTTTTATTTATTTTAAGCCCTATATAATAATATAAATAATAATATATAAAATAAATATTTTGTTTATTTTGGTTACTGTGTGTGTTCATATAGTTTTCTTTTTCTGCAATTTTTTTGTTGTTAGAAATAATTTATCTGGCTAGAGAAATCTTGATAATTAACTTTCATTTATTTTCAGTGATATAGATTCACTTTCCATAGTGAAGGACTTCCATGAAGGCATTTTCATTCATATTCTCCCTTCTGTCTCTCTTTCCTTTTTCCCAGCTTCCCCTTCTTGCTAGTCTCCATGTTTGAATTTGCTGAACTTTTGTGTCTGTTGGTGTATTAGTTACATGTCTCATTGCTAGTTCAAAATACCTGACAAATGCAACCTACGGGAAGGGAGGGTTTTTGGCTCTTAGTTTCAGGAAATACAGTCTATGATTGGGAGCATATAGTGTCCGGAGCAGGAGACAGGCAAGAAGCAGAGGTGAATGTTGTAAATGCTGGTGCTCAGCCCAATTTTTTTTTCCCAGTCTGAAACCTTAAGCATAGAATCGTACCACCCACTCCCACCTCAGCTAACCTAATCTAGATAAATCCTTCAGAGACATGTCCAGAGATTTGTTTCCATGGTGATTCTGAGTTCCATCAGATTGACCGTCAAGATTAACTATCACACTGGTTTAATAGTCCTCTTTGCATAAGTAACATTTTTTTTGTCTCTCTTTCTCTTTTCTTTTCTTTTCTTTTTTTTTTTTGGTTTAATGAATACTCAATGAAGCATTTTTCCGAGGTATTCCTGACCACCTCCTCCCAGCCTCCCATTTCCCTCCCCTTCCTCCCACCCTTTCCCCCCTCCCTCCACTCCTCTCCCCCTCCCTCTCCAGTCCAAAGAGCAGTCCGGGTTCCCTGCCCTGTGGTAAGTCCTAGGTCCTCCCCCCTCCGTCCTTATCTAGGAAGGTGAACATCCAAACTGGCTAGGCTCCCACAAAGCCAGCACATTAAGTAGGATCAAAACCCCGTGCCATTGTCCTTGGCTTCTTTTCAGCCCTCATTGTTCGCCATGTTCAGAGAGTCCGGTTTTATCCCATGCTTTTTCGGTCACAGTCCAGCTGGCCTTGGTGAGCTCCCAGTAGATCAGCTCCCCTGTCTCAGTGGGTGGGTACACCCCTCGTGGTCCTCTTTCTCTTTTCTTATAACAGCTTGAAATACAATTCATACATCATATAGTTCATCAACCTAAAGTGAAGCTTTGGTGAATTTTTGTATAGTTATAGATTTATGCAGTGTTTATCTCAGTTTCAGAATGCCGTATTTACTAGCATTCGTGGGTTTTTTTGTTTGTTTGTTTGTTTTTGTTTTCCATTTCCCCTTAGCATCCTTTCCAAGAAGTGTTTCTCTTCCCTTTTAGTGGGTTTTTACTGTCTGGACATTTCGTGTAAGGGCATTCATACGATAGATGATATTTCATCTCCAGCTCTTTCCCTTTAACAAGTATTTTAACAAGTTGGTCCTTGTTCTAGCATATATTTGTTTTGCAAATAATATTGTATGGCAATGAGCATACCATATTTTATTTAAATAATTATCAAGTCAGTTATCTGGATTGTTTGCACTTTTGAGTCTTTAAACATTCTTCTGTAATTATTTTTGTTGTTGTTGTTTGTTTTGTTTTTCGAGACAGGATTTCTTTGTGTAGCTTTGGAACCTGTCCTGGAACTTGCTCTATAGACCAGGCTGACCTCAAACTCAGAGATCCTCCTGCCTCCATCTCCTGAGTTTTGGGATTAAAGGCATGCACCACCACCGCCCAGCCTTCTGTAGTCATTTATGTGCACATATGAGAAAATACTGAGAAAATACCTGCCTGCTTGTATATTAATTCCATATTGAACTTTTTAAGGAACTGCCATGCTGATAAGTACCTGGGCCATTTTATGTTTTCACTAGCAGCACATAAATAAGGTTTGAGTTTTTTCTGCTTATTGCCTCTGAGTATATTGATCCAAGTGGGTTTGAAATAGTTCATCGTTTTGATTTGGGTGGGCTACATTTCCATTTCCCTTATAGATAATGATATTAAATATCTTTTTATGTGGTTGTTGGCCCTTTGTGTATTTTTTTGAAGAAATATGTATTACATTGAGTGTTTTTGAGATCTCACTGTGTATATAGCCCAAGCTGGTGTCAGGCTTGTGAGCTTTTTGCCTCCACCTCCCAAGTGCTGGGATTAAAGGCAAACTACTACTCTAGTTGTACTCATTTTTTTTTTATTTTTTAAATTGTGTGTGCATGAGTGTGCATTCATTTGTATGTAAATACAGATGCACAAGTGCTGCTATGCTGTATGGAAATCAGGACAACCTTGGTGTACCCACCATTCAGCCTTGTTTAAGACAGGGTCCCTGTATTTTGTTTGTTTGTTTTCTGCATTTGCTGCCAGGACTACAAGTTTCTAAGCGCTTCTCTGGATTGTCTTTTCTCTGCCTCCCATCTTCCTGAGGACTCTGGGATTATAGATGCTCACACTGTCTGGTATTTAATGTAAATTCTGGGAATTGGAACTCAGGCCCTTATACTTGCCTAAGTGCTTTTACCCATTGAGCCAGCTCTCCAGCCTCTCTTGAGTTTTAAGAATATAAATGACTTATCAGATTTATGATTTGCAAATATTCTTTTTTTCTATGTGTTTTACTTTTCTAATGTAAATAGAAAGCAGAATTCCTATTTTCTGGTGTATAGAATGAACAGTTTTTCAGGCATTAGTACTTGATTTTGTCCTATATTTTATAGTATACAAATTCTAGATTTAGCATTTTAGCATTGCTATGAATTATTGATGTTTTGTTTATCATATCTGAGGTTATTTAAAGGATAAATTTTTTTGCAGTGTGCTCTTAAAATAAAGGTACTTTCAAGTATTGACACTTCACTTTAAAAGTTTAAATTTTTAGTTTTCTTCTGCAAATTAAATTGTTCAGTGCATTCAGTAAATTGTTCTAAAATAGATTAAAATTTTCCTTGTTAAGTTTTCTCAAACTTTTTTAAAAAGTAAGTACCTAATCAAAATGTCTGATTTTTATTTAATACATGGGCCAAATTTTGGAGATAGCTATTTATTTAATCCTTTCTTCTTTTTTTCTGTCTTGCAGGAAAAGTAAGAAGCTTAAGCTCATCTTTGTGGTCACTAACTCACTTGACAGCTTTGCATCTGAGTGACAATTCCCTGTCCTGTATTCCTTCAGACATTGCCAAGCTTCACAATCTGCTATATCTGGACCTGTCCCATAACCAAATCCAGAGTTTACCGGCGGAACTCGGAAACATGGTATCACTCAGGTATGCAGACTCAGTTTTGGACATTTAGGTCCCCCAAAAGAAAGGCAGCCATATATCTTGTTAGGAAATAAAGCCATTTTATATTTAAATAAAGGGGGCATCATAACTGTATCTTTTGATGAAATATTTTAGTAAGAATTGAATGTCTCATAATAAAAATTAAATAGGTCCCTTGCTTGGTTTTGATGATGTTGCTGTTAATTTTTTTTATCGGAGACAGGGTTTCTCTGGTTGTTCTTGCTCTGTAGACCAGGCTAGCCTCAAACTCAGAGATCCACCTGCCTCTGCCTTCCCAGTGCTGGGATTAAAGGAATGCACCACTACTTCCTGACATTGCTTAGTTTTTTATTGCTGTTTTGTTATGTATTTTATTTTTGAAACCTCCCTCCCCCAAAAAAGACTCTTAGACATAACTCTTTTTTGATTCTTTGGGAATTTGACATCATACATTCCAGTCCTGCTCACCCCCAGTCTCTCCTTATCCACCCCTCACCCTGTAGCATCCCCGCCTCATCTCCCTCCTCTGTCTTTCCAGCACCTCTTTATTCCTCCCAGTGGCATCAGGATCTGTGGTGTGTCATGCAGTATTCCCTTTTGTTCAGTCAGCCTCACCCACAAAGTATTCATTACAGTGAGTCATTGGTCTGAACCAAAAAATTTTAAACACTATAAAGCACTGTGCTGTACTTGGCTTATGGCTAGCAGTTGATGCCACGCAAGGATCCTTAATAACACTGGTCCTCAGAACCTGTTGCCTGTAGTAGGAAAGCCCTGGCATGAACCAAGCTAGAGTCAGTTGTTGCGCTCATGGCATGGTCCTTAGGCATTTAAACATTATGTGGTCTTGAACAGGCTTCTTAGGCAGAAGTTAGGATGTTGTCAGTGATGAGTAAACATAACTAACTCCATCCAGTTTTAATGTTTCAGCAAATGATAATTGCTGAGTGTGCATTTGTTCGTTGTTTTTTTTTTTTTTTAAACCCTTGAAGGTAGATAAGATCAACATAAATACAAAGCCAAACCCAGTGTACCTACTCTTGCACAGTGGTTTCCCTGGCTTCTAGTTTGAAGAATGGATATTTTTATGGATTTTTTTTTTGTCTTTATTGCTCTTACACTAGCCTTTTAACAATTTTCTTGGCTTAGTTATTGAGTATTTACTAGACTATTTTTAATCCTTGGAAACAAAACAGATTTTATTTTTCTTGTTCAGTTTTCTCAGAAGCAACCAAGATTTGTAAAGAAACAAGAATAGTAGAAATCATTCTTCTAAAATCTGGTTAGTAAAACTTCGTGCAGGAACTAGTCTTTTGTTTATATAAATTTTACTTTTAAACTGAAAATTTTGTAAATCTGGAGAGCTACTAAACATAAACTTAACTTGGAGCCATCATTAAGCTCGTTTAAACAGTCCTCATGGTAGCTGCGTATGAACCACTTTCCTTGTTGTGACCAAATACCCAAAAAATAGCTTCAAGGAGAAGCTTTTTCATTTGACTCTTGGTTTGAGGAGATAGAGTCCATCATGGTAGAAAGGACATGGTAGCAGAAATGCCCAGCAGCTGATCACATTGCTTCCACCATCAGGAGGTGAAGTTGGGACAGTCCTAGCCCGCTTTGGTGGTACTACCCAAATGAGGCTGGGTCCTCCTCAGTTCAACCTCTCTGGAAGTACCCTCACATGTACCTTTGAGATCTGCCTCTTGGGCTGTTTCATCCTTTCTGCTTTCTTAAGCACATGTAGTGGAGCAAACCATGTGCCTATTATGAGGTAAGTACTTCAGTTGAGAGTAGTCTGATATATCCATGAATTTAACAACTTTTAAAAATTGAAGCTTGTATCATACTTTCTGTATTTATTTTTCCCCCTATATATTACCAAAGGTTTGATCTGTGGCAGTTTTGTTGCTGTTGTTGTTGTTGTTTAACTACATAGGAAGGCCAAGGCTAGATAATGGAATATAATGTATAAAACTTTGTCACTCTTAGGTACATACTTTCCTAGAAATAACATTGTTGATTTTAGCTGTCAAGGTTAAAATTAACATGTCTTCTGACTTCCTGGAAATTTTTGATCAACAGGGAGCTCCATTTAAATTACAACCAGTTACGAGTTCTACCTTTTGAGCTGGGAAAACTGTTTCAGTTACAGACTTTAAGCCTGAAAGGTAGGATTTTATTTTTTCCTTACATTTTTTTTTTCTTCAAAAAGCTTATTTGAATCTTTGGCAGGCAGTGTTGTTACTCTGCTCTATTGCTTTAACTATGCTGCAGTTCTTTGTTCCTGTGACTTGTGACTTCCAACCCCAGGCCATCTGTGTCTTTGTGATCTCTTCTGCTCTCAGCCTCTCTGCTTTCTTGTCTTGATGATACATGACTTACACCATGCTTTCTGATCATGTCATAGATAGCTTTTTCTCATGTTCAAATCAGAGTGCAGCTTTCCATAAAGAAAAACTTTCCTCAGTAAATAGAAATTTTTGATTTAGTCCTGGTATTAAAAATTAGGCTTTTGAGGGTTTCTTTTTTAAAAAGAAGTTGATTTATGGGTACTTAATTAGTGTTGGAAATGGGAAAGAGGGCACAAATAATGCAGGAACCATTGTAAAGTTCCGTAGCCAGGAGTTAAAGTCACATTTTTACAGTGTGAAGACAAATGGGCATGTTTTATGATGTAATTGGTTCTTTACCAGTCTGGGCAGGTGTGGACAGTCGGCTGTCTCCTAAAGGAAGGCCTTTGGATAAAGAGTTAAATTCATATTTCTAAAAGTTAGGTACAGAATCAGGTTATATTCTTATAAGTCCCTGTGGTATATCATAAGAACTATTTAGGAAGTAAATATAAAATAAAAATATATACTTACATATATAATTTTTAGCAGCCATTAGTTTTGCAAGTGGTTCAAATCCATTTCTTGCCAGAGAAAGCTGCTGTTTTATGCCCTTCCAGTTTAGAGCTGATACAGAGTACTTCCATATTAACATTAACCCATTAATCATCTTTTTGAGCATTCCTGTAAAACTGCAAATTTTGAGGCTGGAGAGATGACTCAGTGGTTGAGAGTCTTCCAGAGGACCCTGGTTCAATTTCCAGCACCCACATGGTTCACAGCCATTTGTAACTCCAGTTTCAGGTGATCCAGTTCCCCTCTTCTGGCCTCAAAAGTCATAGGCATGCCAGTGATGCACAGATATAAATCCAGGCAAAACACCCATATGCATAAAACAAATCTTTAAAAAAAAAGGAAACTTAAAAAACAGCGAAATTTTTTATATGAAAATTTCAAAAGTGATATTTTTATTTATTAAGTTTTTAGCAACTATAATGTAACAGTGTTATAATATTATACTTTTTTGTGGCATTAGGTGATTATTTTGCTAAATTTTTTTAAGTTTGAAACATTGTATTATTTTAATTTACCTACTTAAAATTGCCCCAGGAAATCCACTTACCCAAGATATATTGAACCTCTGTCTGGAGCCAGATGGAACAAGAAGGCTACTGAACTACTTGCTCGATAATTTGTCAGGTACTGCAAAAAGAAGTAAGTGACCGTTTGTTTAGACTTTTTATTAGGAAGACATGTAAGAATATCACTTAATTATTATTATTATTTTTATATATATATATACCCAGTTTCAACAGAACAACCACCTCCAAGATCGTGGATCATGTTACAAGAACCAGACAGAACAAGACCAACGGGTTGGTAGCTCTATTTTCTTTTTAACTATTAATGTCACCAGGTCTTGATAAATCTGCAAGTATTGTTGGAATACTTTAGATTTTTAACAGCATTGAAGGCAGTGTGGTTTTAGGTTGATTTAGTTTGGGAAATAATGGTAAAGATTTAATTCTGTAATACATTGCTTCTCAGCCAAGAACAGTTTTTTATGGGGGTGGGGTGTTGAGACAGGATTTTTCTGTGTAGATTTGGAACCTGTCCTGGAACTCATTCTGTAGACCAGGCTAGAGTGAACTCACAAAGATCCATCTGTCTCTGCCTCCCAGGTGCTGGGATTGGATTAAAGGCGTGTGCCACCACCGCCAGGTTAGCTGGGAGCAGTTTTATCTCTGGGGAACATGTATCAATTTTGATAATTCTGATTGTTTAAAGTGGGAGAAATATTGCTGGAACCTAGAGATTGAAGCCAGGGACACAGCTAAATACCCTGCATCATCTGATCTAGTCAGTCCCTCCTAGCCACACAGAATGTCAGTACTGACACTGTTGAGCACTTGACCTCTATCACATCAGGTTTGCTGAAATCTTTTCCCACGGGAGGGTTCCATGTGTTGATGTGTTCTAAAGGTATTTTATATTATTAAAGTCTAAGATAGTTTTCTTACTTGAGAGGAAAAACATTAAATTAATGCCTCTGGTATATTTCAACATAAGTTTTATAAAAATAGTTTAATTCTCAAGGTATTTTTTAACAGGATTTGCTTCTGCATGGATAAACACAGGCTATCTTGTTTAATGTTGCTTTGCATTATTTTGCTTCATAGATAATTAAAATGTGTTGTGGGTTTTTATTGCAACCCCATGTCAATAAAATCTACCATTGCGCCTTTTTTTCTGTAGCTCAGACAATAATTTTTTTTTCCGGCAAAAAATATATATCTTAGTCTGTGTTTAAGACAGTGCTGTTCTATAGATTATAATGAAAAACTTTTTTGTGCCCCAGGAACCCAAAAATATGTGTGATTTGCTTTGTTGAGTACTTACTATTTTAGTGTTCTGGAGCCAAACTCACAGTCCATCTTCAAGTTAGTCTGTAGTTGCTCTGTCAGAAAAAGAAAGTTGGCAGCCTGTTATGGAAACTGCTTGTCAAGTTTCCACATCCTACATTAACAGTTAGTGGCATAGAGGAAATAAGGAGTCTTGGTATATCGAATTAAGACTCAAGAACCTGTCTTAGCTTCTGTAGATACAAGCACATTGTATCCTAATTGGTTTGTTTATTTGTACTTCCATTACTTATTTTTCTTTCTTTCGCCTCAGCTGGCATAGAATAATAGCTTTTTGGTAACTATAGGTTGAGTGGTTGAAATCAGACTAAATATAGTGAGGACTATTGCTGAAGTAATTTTGGTTATTGGTCTTTTTCTGCCGTGTGTGAATCAGTTATCTTTCCTACAGCCTTGTTTTCTGTCATGTGCTATAATGTTCTTTGTGATAAATATGCGACCCGGCAGTTATACGGCTACTGTCCATCATGGGCGTTAAACTGGGACTACAGGAAAAAGGCCATTATTCAAGAAATCTTGAGCTGCAATGCTGATATTATCAGTCTTCAGGTAAGTCATGCAAAAGACTCTTTAAGTTGTGTGACCCTTCAAACCAGGACAAAACAAGAAACAATTATACTAGAATATATTATGCTAATATATTTGAAATCTTAGCTTCAGTGGCTCTTAAAATTTTAGGCTTTTCTGGTTTAGGAGAATTCTGAGAACAGTAACTCTTGCTTTGCAACCCTGTGCTGTCAGATAAAGCAAAACAGGTTTAACTAGGTTTTAAAAATTGACAGTAACTTTCCTCTTTTCCTCCAGTGTCCCTGTATACTGCATTTGATTTGGGTGGCTAAGTTACTAAAATTGTGGCTTTTCTGGACATATTCTTGTTTTACCAGCACTGTTACTAGAAATGTTAGGGTGAAGTGGAAAAAGATTGGACTGTCTGCATAGTAATGTGGGTTTTTTTTTTTTAACCCAACTCTCATAATAACTTATACAGTTTGAATCTATTTGTTTTTCTTCAATGGGTCTAGAATTAAAATATGTGACAACTGTAATTCCTTCTTCTATGGTTCTTGTTCCATCAGTTCTAAGACAAATCTATATGTCTTTGACTTTACTCCTAAACTACAACGAACTGGCATTGGCATCTGATGCAATAAAGTCTTCTGATTGGTTTTAGACCAATTATATTTTGAAAATGTTCTGTTCTTTAGTATATTGTGATCTTTTGAAAAAGATATTTCAGACTGTACACATGGGTTAATGTATAGGACATATTTTTGTCCTTGAAGTAACTTTGCTGGTTATGATTTTTCAGGAGGTTGAAACAGAACAGTATTACAGTTTTTTTCTGGTAGAACTGAAAGAACGTGGCTATAATGGATTCTTCAGTCCTAAGTCTAGAGCTAGGACGATGTCGGAACAAGAAAGAAAGCATGTTGATGGCTGTGCAATATTCTTCAAGACAGAAAAGTAAGTCTATCTAACTTTTTGTTTTTTTTAAAGGTAGTGTCTTCAATATTTGCAGGGTAAGACCAAGGATATCTCAGTTACTTAGCAAATAAGAGAATGAAGTGCTATATTATTTAAGAAAACACAAATATTTAAAGTTTAAATGGTCTTTTTGTTTGAAATAACTTGTTTTGGAGGGGATACTGAAAGTACTGTTATTGTTTAGGGTTGTTTACTAGGGCTTTACTTCCAACTGCTAATTGAAATATATGTAAGTAAAATTCCCTCTCGGAAACCTATGCTTTGGAAGATAATTGTTTAAAAATTATGAAATGAAATATTCCAGCACTAATGGTAAGGATGACTGACTATACTATATTATGTTGTAAAGGTATTTCCAGGTTTTGTTTTTATCAGGAACAGATTAAAAACAACTTTAAGGCCTGGCGATATACATCAGTGTTTAGGGTCAGTGGATATACATTAGTGGTAGAGAATTTGCCTAACATGTACAAGACCCTGGGCTTGATGCTCAGTACCACAAAAGAAACAAGCCAAGTTAGACTAGAAACAACTTTAAATGAATTTAGGGAGCTTGGTACTATGGAGGATTTCCTACAGTATGACTGAAGTGTCTTTATTTGGTAATGAAGTTTGGAAGACATTTCCCTTGGAACTAATGTCTCGCATTCCCAATCACATATTTGTGCTTCATTTCAGATTTACTTTGGTTCAGAAACACACTGTTGAATTTAACCAACTAGCAATGGCGAATTCAGAAGGGTCTGAAGCTATGCTGAACAGAGTCATGACGAAAGATAACATTGGAGTTGCTGTACTGCTAGAACTTCGAAAGGAATTAATTGAGATGTCATGTGAGTGATTGTTTCACTTCCTGTCAAATTGACAGCCCCATCCCTACCAATTTATTAGTTCTTTTTTTTTTTAAGATTTATTTATTTATTATGTATACAGTATTCTGTCTACAGGCCAGAAGAGGGCACCAGATCTCATTACAGATGGTTGTGAGCCACCATGTGGTTGCTGGGAACTGAACTCAGGACCTTTGGAAGAGCAGGCAGTGCTCTTAACCGCTGAGCCATCTCTCCAGTCCCCCAGTTTAGTAGTTCTGATAAGATATCCTCAAACCAAAATCTCACTATATATATTTAATGGTCTGATCTAACACGTAAAGAAAGTCAGTGAGTATTTTTCTTTTCTAAAATATCATACATCTTTTTCTTTAGTTCAAAGGTAAAGATGAAAAGTCATTGCCAGAAAAATTATTGCCTTGAAAAGGCATAAAGGTAAAAAGATATTTGTGAGATTATGGAGGTAAATAGTAATTGAAATAACTGTTCAGGGATCAGAATTCCATATGCTTCATGGTTTCTTGTCAGCAAGGGTGTTTGGTAAAGCTAACTTTTTAATGTCAGTCTCCCCGTGACTGATTTATACTAATTATGTTAAGGTCTTGAATTTGAGGAAGGCGACTACTTTTTAAAAATTATGAGTATGTGTATAGTGACTTGGATGCTGAGAACTGGAACTTCCATCACTTGTTGTGGAATGTGGGATATTATTGTAAAGATAAAAATAAAAGATAAAACCTAGTGACACGGAATTGTGTGCCAGTGCTAGTACTTGCACAAATCTTAACAAAACAAAAACCCCAAAAGCCAAAGAATTAGTAACTGCTAAAACGTATATATCTAAGAGAATTTAGGTTCAAATCTGAGAGATTTGTTTTAGGATGTCTAGAAATACCTCATGGACTGTCTCTGTCCAAGTAGTCTTTACTGCTGGATATATCAAATAGATTTAGAGATAGAATTCTTGGGATTCATTGATTGGGTAGGAAATCACTAGATACATTTTAGATTCTTTTGAGAAATTTCACTTGCTTTCAGATGCTGCAAGAAACTATAGACCAATGCAGATTTTTCTGTTTGTTTGTTTGTTTTTAAATCTACTATAGCTGGAAAACCACATCTGGGAACAGAAAAACAACTTATTCTTGTGGCTAATGCTCATATGCATTGGGACCCTGAATACTCAGATGTGAAGTTGGTACAAACTATGATGTTCCTCTCAGAAGTGAAGAATATTATTGATAAAGCCTCTCGGAACCTCAAATCCAGTGTATTGGGAGAATGTGGAACTATTCCACTTGTGTTATGTGCAGATCTGAATTCTTTGCCAGACTCTGGTAAGAAAAGTAATATTTTATATGAAATCGGTACTTTTTAACTGAAGTTTTTCTGTGTTTTATAAAACACTTAGTATAAGTGCATGTATACTGAACATGTCAAGGTTTGCATGCGGGTCAAAGAACAATTAAAGGGGAATTGATTCTCTCCTTACATGAGTTCAGAAGATAGAGCTCAGGTAATCACCACAAGAATCTGCACCAGCCCTGTAATGTGTTCTTTTGATAATTCAGAATTTAGTCTAAAGGAAAATTCATTTTGTAGTGGCATCAGTGATGGGTTTTACAATTTTTTTAAAATAAGATGCGAAGAGGGAAGAGCATAGAAACTTGGGGGGCTAATGATAGGCATTTTTTTTTCTCTGTTTTGTTTTAAATTTACCCAAAGACATTTATAATCCAGATGCTAAAAAGTTGTTAAGATAACTTCTTTTGGATTCCAGCCTATGGTAAAATAATATCACAGTTAAATTTGACCTAAAGTATGTTACAGAATCCCAAATTTTGTTTCTTATAACTTTCATAAAAAGTACAAAGTACATCTGAGGTAGAAATTAGGACCTTTTATCAAAAGTAATGCTCTTGATTTTTGTCATGAAGTAGACAAAAGTAGATTTGGAAAGCCTGATTGATCTTAAATGCTTTTCTATAGATAGTACAGAGAATAAACCAGAGCCCTGTCAATAGCAAACTAGACATCCCATCTGTATTCCAGCTCTTTGATTGTATTCTTATCACACAATGCTTTTAGACTTGCCTTTCTGTATGACTGTACACCATCATGTTGATAGTCGAATTTGATACTATATTATTGCTATCTCAATAAATAGAGCCTTGAAGAAGAAACTTAAAATTTGTTTTCAAGGGCAGCAAAAAGTCCCTGAGATTGCTAATTCTTTAGCCCCATGTCATCAAGCTGTCTGGGGATCACTGCTGCTGAACAGCTGAGGATTCTCTGACAACTTCTCCATATGCTATTCTACCCTCTAGCTGCAAAGTATTGGAGATGGGGGAAGATTTCTGATAGCATTGTGGGGAAATGTCCCATCTTGCTAAGTAATGTAATAATAATGTTTGTAGAGCCTACTTTATGATTGAGAATTTATGAAAATAGTTAAGTTGCTTTCTCACTTGGTGGCATTCTGTTCCATAGTTTGGTAGTATGATAACACATAAAACCCAAAAGAGTTGCGTAACTCTGTAGATAATTTAGGATATGAAGAATCCTGCACACTATTTTGATGGTGATGTTGTCTTTAACTCTTTTCTTAAAAGTGGAAATAACCTAGAGTTCAGCAGTCATATTCCAGGCAACCTTTATATAAAACCATTGAAGGATTTGGGAGGACACATCTATTTATCAGATAGTTTTAAACAAACCAAAATTTAAATTTTTGGGTACTGTAATTACATAAAAATGAACTTGAGCAAATTATGACTAATTAAGAAAAACATCTTAGAGAATAGGAATTTGTGTGGCTTTTTTAACTGTTAAATGCTCTTTTAGAATTATGTTTTGTTTGCTGCAGTATGCTTGACAAATACAAGTGCATTTCTGTTTGTTTAGGTGTTGTAGAGTATTTGAGCACTGGTGGAGTAGAGACCAATCATAAAGACTTTAAGGAACTGAGGTACAATGAAAGTCTCACAAACTTCAGCTGTAACGGGAAGAATGGTATGACCAATGGAAGGATCACTCATGGTTTCAAGCTAAAGAGTGCCTATGAGAATGGCCTGATGCCTTACACGAATTACACATTTGATTTCAAGGTATGTCTTGTTATTGATAAGCTTTCAAAACCTTATTTTTATCAGCAAGTCTTATAACTTCTAAAGTCATAAACACCAGTGTATGTTCTGACCGGAACTGAGCAGCCTTAACTTACTAACAGAAGATGTCGTTGCTCTTCCATAGGCAACCACGTGATTGGTGTTAGTCAAATGGTTTCCATAGTGAGAAGTTGGGTGAAATATGACAGCTAAGCAGTCCTTGGTTATTCTTTATCCTGGTGTTTATTTCTTAAATACTGGCTACTAAAAGCTGGATACTATAGTGTCTAGTTTGCTATCTCTGTTACACCTTAACTGAAACTTATTTTTATGCCAAAATGAGGTTCATCTTAGCCACTGTTAAACAGTACTTACTTTGTGTTTATGTGGGTGCTTAATGTTGCCACAGTGCTTGTGTTAGTCTTAAGGGCAGCTTGGAGGAGTCAGTTCTCCCCTTCTATCATGTGGGTGGGCCCCTGGGGATTGGACATAGGTTGTCATGCTTGGTGACAAATGCCTTTACCCACTGAGCCATCTTGCCAGCCCTGTAGTTGTAGGGTTTGTGTGTGTGTGTGTGTGTGTGTGTGTTGTGCTGGGAATTGAATCCAAGGTCTGTGTTTACTAGGCAAGTGTTCTTCTAAGCTTGTTCCTAGCCCTGGTTTTCAAAGTATGTTATGTGCTGTCTTACACAGTTAACAGCTTGCAGCCACCTTTTCTCAATGACTGTCATTTTTGTACTTATAATAATTTAGATTCTTAGGCATATTGATTACTAGGAAGATAAGGGTAGTGACCAACGTAGAGAAGAAATTGTTTTCCCCCATTTCTGTTGCTGATGCAAAGATAGACACTTGCATATGCTTTAGTGTCTTAGGCAAGAACACATGAGAAAGGGGGGTGAAGTTAATGGAGGAGAGACTCCCAAATCAGCAGATCGATTCCTGTGTGCTAGATGTACCCTGCACTTCTGAAGATGTGCAAAACAGACATAGCCCTGCACTTGTGCAGCTTTGATCAAATGGGAAAGACATCTTATTTTTTGTTTGAGACGGTCATGCCACATAACCCACGCTTGCTCAAATTCTTAGTCTTCTTAGCCTCCTAAGTGATGGCATTACAGGTATACATCACCACACTTAGCTTTAAAAAGCATACCTCATATCAGATAGCTTCACTAGTGTAACATAATGCTTGTGGTGATTATCTTGATTATCTTGTTTGTTTGTTTTTGGCTCTCATTTTTAAAGGTTCTTGTATATGATCAAGTTGTGCTATAGCTGTGGGCCTCTGTACTAGGACAGATTATCATAGTGGGAGCATTTGACAGAGCAAAAAGAAAGAGGAGAGCCTGGGCTTCCAAAATCTTCTTTAGAAATGTGCTTCTGGTGACCTAAGGACTTCCCAGAAGGTTCTACCTCCTAAAGGTTCTTGGCATCTCTCAGTAGTACTACTTGGGGGACCAAACCTTTTAACACCTTTATGAGGACGTTTAATAAGGTTATATATAGTCATTCTCAGCCATATAGGTGAGTATGTTCTTAACACCTTAGTGTGGGTGTTAGCAAGGAAAGAGAGCAGTGACTGCAGGACTTAGGAGGGTTTGATGATTGATAAGGAGTTAGCCAGGTGACAAGAAGAACATGAATATATGTGTAGGTTGTTAGGAAAGAGCTTATTGACAGGACTGGTTGTTGTGGGGTAGAATATTTAACTATGTAAAAATGTGTTATATTTGTTTATATTGCAGAATATTTGTTTTAACACTGTAAAGATATGTTGCATTTGTTTATGTTACATTTGTTTAATTATGAAAAGATGTGTTGCTGTTTCACCTTGCCTGCCTAAGGCACCTGATTGGTCTAATAAAAAGCAGAACAACAAATAACTAGACAGAGGAGGGATAGGCAGGGCTGGCATAGAGAATAAATAGGAGGGGGAATCTAGACTTGGGAGAGAAGGAGTGAGAGGGAGAAAAAGTAGGAGATGGCCAGGGGCCAGCCAGACATGGAGGAAGCAGGAAAATAGAGCATACAGAATGAAAGAAGTAAAAAGTTCCAAGGCAAAGTATAAAGAGAAACAGGTTAGGTTAAGTTATAAGAGCTAGCTAGAAAGGAACATAAGTTAAGGGCAAGCACTCATAACTGTGTTGTGATTTGGGGGCTGACAGTCTGAAAAAGCCTGCTGCAGCTGGGTTGATTCTGCTGAGTTTGACTTTGACAGGTTTGTTTTCTGTTGATTATTTATTTTTCGTTTTTCGAGGCATGATTTCTCCGCAACTTTGGAGCTGTCCTGGAACTAGCTCTTATAGACCAGGTTGGCCTCAAACTCACAGAGATCCACCTGCCTCCCGAGTGCTGGGATTAAAGGCATGTGCCACAAGTGCCTGGCTGTTTTCTGGTTTTTGTGTGGTGCTGGGGCTTGCACATACTGCTGTTTCTTCAAGCTAGCAAGTTGTTTTTTGTTTACCAAATATGACTTCTAAGGATATGTCTTTGAAAAAACTTGTGATTTTCGTGTTTTCATGCTTAGGCCTTAACCATTTTTATTGTTGTTTTTCAGGGTATAATTGACTACATCTTCTATTCTAAACCTCAGCTGAATACTTTGGCCATCCTGGGACCTCTGGACCACCATTGGCTAGTTGAAAATAATATCAGCGGCTGCCCACATCCACTTATTCCCTCCGACCACTTCTCACTTTTTGCACAATTAGAGCTCTTACTGCCTTTCCTGCCCCAAGTTAATGGCATTCACCTTCCTGGCAGGAGGTAGTCAAGTACTTTCAGAGGACCTCAGATTTACTTGTAAACTCATGAAAATCTGAATATAGAGGAGTGAGGTATGGCCAATAGGGATTTTTCTCAATGATCATTTGAATTTTCAGTCTGATTATTTGATAAAGGATATAGTATGAAAGCCAGGTGCTAGCAACAGACAAATTCTGAGCCCAGTATGCTTTATATACTGCTAGACAGGGACTGGTGTGTTTACACCTATCTTTTAATTTGTTACCAGTAATTTTCCTGTTTCTTCTCTCCAATGTATATTGTCATGCCTTGAAATAGGAAGATTTGTGAGCAGTGTGCTATTTGCACAGAAATCACAGCACTGTTGTCTGAGGCCAGTAGTCACACCCGAGACCACTCTTCCAGACTGTACTCCTCTTTTTTTCAGACTTGTTTGTAAAATGATAGTTTGAATTTAGTCTTTATGATTGTATATGATCCACAGAAGACATGATTTATGAAATTTTGTACTTAAAAAAAAAATGAAAACAATTGTAAGCTAAGGGGTGTTTTTTGTTTTTGTTTTTGTTTTTTTTTTTTTTAAGCTGTGTCCTATGTTCTGAAAGCCAGCTGGTAACAAAGTTGCAACAGACTTTCTCTGCAGTGATTTGCACTGTTGGGGTTTTGTTAGCCCTTTTGTACTACTTTATTTTTAAATTGAGAACATTACTCTTTAAATGTAAGTTTCCTTAGACCTTGGGATATTTTCTTGGACCAGAGGCAACTTATGTATGAATTCCTGAATTTCTATGGAAACTTTCTACCAGGACAGATAAAGCTGATCTGTAGGCATTTATGGACTGAATAAGATAGTTGACATATGTACATTTTGGTATTTTTAAATCTTTAACTTTTTAAGTTAAAAATTTACAGCTGTTTAGGTACAGCTTCTAAGTTCTTCCTGAGACATGTTCTGTTCTGTCTCCACTGTGCCTGCCTAAATTTGTTCTCACCAAGCACTGCCTGTGCATGCAGAGAAAATCTGTGCATCTTTTATATTTTTTAAAAACTAACATTTGTGAGACTTTTATGAAAATGCTTTTGTATTAGCTGTGGCTTTTCCTCGTTGTGAAGCGTTGGATAGCACATTCTGGAACATGTTCTTGGGTCCTGGGTCTTTGCTCACAGACCTAAGCACTGCTTCTTGGTGCCATTGCACCCAGAGTACCACTATCATGTGTATTCCTTATTTTCTTATGTTTTTAAAAATCATTCCTTTTTTAAAAGAATAATTTTCTGTTTATGAAGCAGTATAAATTAGATGCATTTTCAAAACAGGTTCCCTAAGACAATTGTTCGGATCATTTTTAAAGTGACTAAGGAATTATAATATGTCAACCAAGATGAAAGTTATACTGTACCCTATATTTTGCCCATAGTGCCATTAGTAGATTAGAAATTAAAGTCACCTTTAACTTTACAAAGTTAACTTGTATATGTTCTGTTCTCAGTCATTGGTTCTCTCAAAATCAAATGAATTCAGAGGGAACTTGTCTGGCTGCTTTTGTTTCAACTGCAGGCAGTGGAGCAGAAGGACGCCGTGTGGCACTAAAATGAACTGTTGAGTAGTAACAGTTTTATACAGAGACTGAGCCATTTTGGATGACTCAAAATTTTATGAGAAAACATTTAATTGCTTATGCTGTTTTTAAGAGGAAATAAAATTACATACTGTTTAAATAAATGAATTTTTTCTTTTTAAGAAATTCTGTAAAAGGTCTTGATCTTGAATCTGCCTTGGACCTTTCCTTTAAGGTTTTTTGTTTTGTTTAATCTTAATTATGATGGTGAGTTTGTTTGTTTGTTGTGGGTTTTCTCTTTGTTCAAGTTGTGCTGGCACCAAACACATCTAGTTTGTAATCAACACTGGTATAGAACCAGTGCATACTTCTAATGGCTTTTTATTCTCTCTCTCTCTCTCCCTCTCTCCCTCTCTCTCTCTCTCTCTCCCTCTCTCCCTCTCTCCCTCTCCCTCTCTCCTCTCCCTCTCCCTCTCCCTCCCCCCCCCCCTCTCGTGTGAACATAGGATGTGTTGACTTGATTTTCATAAACACTGTGTTGGTAGTGCACACCATGACAGTTTCCAGTGAGGATGAACTAGAGATGGCTGGACTGATGACACTGAGGAAGCCACTTTCCCTGTGACCTGCTTAGAGAATCACAGGTCCAGAGAGTGTGTGGTGGGAGGAGCCGAGAGGAGCACTTACTCATTTTTGCATTTGTTAGTGAAAGATGTATTCTTTCCATGGATGCTGGAACTAGAATGCACTTGTTAGATGCTAAAGGTTTGAGCTTTATACAAAAAGTTTCATCTGTATTCATTACTGTCTACAATATATTTGCATTTGGGGGGCAGCATAGTAAGATATAATTGCCTATTATGTCTTGAAGTGCTTGTTTTGCCTCTTGGGCATACTGCATTCTGTGGGTCAGTTTGGACATCTCCACCTTGTTTAGATAGTGATAAGTTGACCGAGAGTGTAGATTTACAAATATAACTTTCAAAAGAAAACTATTCTGAATCTATAGAGAATAAATGTTCACACCAAAATATACTGATACTTTTGTTACACAAGGTTTTATGTTTTAAATGCTTTGTGTCCAGAATAATTTCCAAGAACCTATATTCCTTAAAATGCATAAAACTAGTCTGTTTTCATAATGTAGATTATTTTTTAAAAATTCTGTAATAAATATATGTAATGTTTTGCTATAATGTAATTTCAGTGTTCTTGCTGATAAATACATCTTAGGAGTGTTTTACACAATGTTTGGAATATGTTTCCTATTCTAAAGATGAGAAGATTGGAGGCACTCAAATTCTTGTAAATCTTTGAAGCACAGTTTACAGTATTGGTGGTAATTATTTATGCTTTGAGAATTTAAATAATGTTCATTGAAATTAATTTATGGCATAGTATAAATTGAAACTGTAGAAGTAAATTGCTGATTGCAACTTTAATAATCCCAGAACACAGAAGAACATCTCTAAGAAATTTGGTTTTTTTGTACTTGGATTTGGTGACAACTAGGGTAGCTTGTTTTGTATTAGCACTTTGAAACCTAAAGATATAATTAAATTGGGTAGAATGCACTTCTAAGTCTTTAAATTATAGTTGAATCCTCTAAGATCCCATTTTCCAATAATAACATTCATGGTTTAGTTTCAGTTTTTCACTGTTTAAACTACAGAACTCATTTCCTTCATGACTTTTAAGTTTGGTGGTTATGTCATAGGACAAAATCAACCCAGGCAAGACAATTACAGGAGATGGTCAGTCACAGTATCCAGTACAGGTGTTGCAGAGAGTTCAGAAGACATAAGCAAGTGTCCTCTGACCATAAGCAGTATTTTAAGATGTTCACTTTGTTCCTTTTGGTTACATAAACCTTAAAAACTGGTATGTTGATGTAGAGTCTAAAATAGAGTAGTCTTTATTCACAGTACCTGCTATTGTGTAATGCACTGGACTAACTCTTGTTTACCATTCGTGTCACAAAACCCAGCACACTGTCTGCACTAAGCTCAAGAATGTCACATCCGCCTAGGCAGCTCTTCGATAAGGGTGATGAAAAGCTGAATTTACACCATATAGACTGGTGGTAACAAGGGCTTTTACTGTTCTTTTCAGTGGAATCTTCTTGGTCAAATTGTAACTAGCTAGTATTATATTTATATACAGGGTCTCTTTTCCTTACCGATGTATTTTCCTACTCATAGCCAACCAATAAATTCAATATCTGTTTCAAATATTTTAAAAGTGTAATTTGTACAGCTGTAGCACTGAGGCTTCAAAGCAGATGTTCACCAGGAGACCACACATTACAGTTCAGAGTCCTCTGGGGCAGGGGAGGATTGAGTAGGGACAGGGCATGGTGCAGCAAACAGTGTGGACACCTTTCCTCAGTGGCTGTGTAGTGCTCATCTTCGCCAAAGTTGTTTCCTGTCTAGGTTGTGAATGGTCCTTTGGCATTTAGGGTTCTTGTTACCATGCACCTCATGATGTAAAAACGGGCTCGTGTTATGGAAGGGCGTTGACATATATTTTAAATAAATGGTTTTAAATATAGTAGCAGACATTGGGTTGGGGTTATGATAATTATTAAAGGTCTTATGTTACATCTCTAAATTTCATAGAAGGTGTGTATAACCTTTAATAAGCCCACATTTTCATATGTGGGCTTATAGTCTAAAACCAAAACATTGATTTCCTTTTCAGAATTTACACAGTTCTATTTCCATTCTTAGGAGGCCGAGGCAGGAGGATGATGGGTTCCAGTCTTCTTTCTTCAAAAAGAGGAAGGACATGTTTTATAAGCTTTATGTACATGCTGGAAAAAAATGTTTAAAATCAGAAGACTGCAGAGAGAACAATCTTAGGTTCTTAGAGTAAGCACATGCCACATAAATCTGATGTCTAATATTTGCTAAATGCACTTACAGCTAAAAACAAATAAATGTCAAAGTTAAGTATACTTTATAAATTCTATCTAGTGATATAGGAAACAGTTATCTAAAATATGAGCTGAAAATATAACGTTTTCAACTTTTAGGTAGCAGTGTTAATGTATATCCCAGATTCCGATTTAAATTGACTTTAAGATGAGCTGTTAGAAATACTGCAGAGGCTTTCTTTAGATATCCTGTGATCTACCTCTGACTTCCTCTAGAGCGACGGGGTAAAGTGTTCTCAAACACTCCAAGTTTAACCTAACACATATTAGAGAATATGTGTTGCAAAAGACAGTTCTTACTAGAGAGTGGTGGGTTTTTTGTTTGTTTGTTTGAACATTTGTCCCAAATCAGGTTCTAAGAACTCCGAATGAGTATAACCTGTAGGTCTGTTTGTACCTAGGAAGTGGGGAGACTGCTGGGTAATGATGATGTCAGAATGCTGTCTCCAGGCTCTTCAGCACTTGTAATCACGTGAACGAGATGTCAGTGTTCTCATTTGTTTTGAGCTGCACGCTTAAATCATTCTGTAATCTATCCCATAGCTATTAAGTTGATTTTGGACCTGTCTGGACAAACTGCTTTTTCTGACAACTGTGACCGGATGCGGACTTCAACAGCTCTTACTGCCACTGTTCTCCAGCCTGTGGGCAGAGTTAGACTCAGTAAGAAGAGTGGGGAGGACTCCGTGTTACTGATACATCTTGATGAATGATGGGGGTTAAGCCATTTTTCGTTGCATCAATGAATGCTCATTTTGAACTGCAGGTGTTATACCTAGTGTGGAAATAGATTTACAGGTACAGTCTCTACTTTGTTGGTCCTTATAACCTGTTGCAGTAAATGCCACACATACACCAAGGAGCAACTGCCTATATGGGTCAAGAGGTGAACTTGTGGCTATATCTTAAAGGACTGAGAACTTATTTCCCAGAGAACAACAGAAGTTATATTAAAAAACCTTTATGGACTGTCAATGGTCATAATGGGTGGAGTTGGCATATGATGTGGCCCAAGCTCATGGAGTAAACTAGCAAAGTATCTAGGACGTGGTGGCATCTTTGGAAGTTTGAACATCCTATGAGTGGTGTAAGGAGCCACATGAAGGTTTGAGTGGGGAGTACTGTTGCCAGACGTAAATATTCTGGAAACATTGCTGTAAGCAGTTCTGTGGAGGAGAGATGAAAGCAATGAGACTAGTGACTAACAGCTAGCTTCAGTATGGTTCATTGCGATGATGAGTAAATGTCCACACTACGCATTCACAGAAAATCAGACCAACGAAGTAGAGCAGCCCTTTAAAGATCGAAGAAATCCAAGAATTTTAAATATACTTTGTTCTGCAAGGGATTAGCTCTTGGTCTTAAGTCATCCACATCTTTTAAGTTCGTAAAACTATTCTGTACCTGAAATCTGACTCTGATAGGCACCATGAAGTATGTTTGATTACTTATGAAGCTTGGCTTTTTAAAAAGCTTTTTAATTAAAAAAAATTATGCTGGGCAGTGGTGATGCATACCTTTAATCCCAGCATTTGGGAGGTAGAGGCTGGTGGATCTCTGTGAGTCCAGTTTGGTCTACAGAGCAAGTTCTAGGACAGCAAGGGCTGTTAGAGAAACCCTGTCTCGAAAGACTGAAATTAAAAATTTAAGGTGTGTGTGTGTGGTGTTTACTGACAAGAAAGCAAGTGCTCCTGAACTGCTCGGCCATCTCTGGTCTGTTGGCTCATCTTTATGGGACTCCTTGCATTGTGCAAAGTAGGGAACTGCCATGTTGTTGGTCTGTATTACACACAAACATCCCATTAGTCGGTCTTAAATTGAATTCTAGGCATGTATTGCAATTAGCCAATGCACTGTAAAGTTGGTTTGAGTATTTTGTACAAGAGGCACTGGAAATATCTAGTAAGTATAAAGTATAGTAGCACCTATGTATATTTGTATTAAGAAGTCTTATAAGTGTGGGCAAGTTAGAATCAGCTCTAATATAGAACTTGGGTATGCAGAGCTAATAATTACAGCAGGAATAGTGAAAACTAGGTGTGTCACAAAAGCCTGCATGGATTACAATAGCAGTAAAAGAAAAGGCTTTGTTGTATAACATGGTAGAATTACAGGCAGTAATATGAACACTATTGTTCTTACCCAAAATGTGTATTATAATACTTTATTGATCAAGAAGATGACGCAGGGCAGTGGTGGCCCATGCCTTTAATCCCACACCTTAATCCTAGGCAGAGGCAGGTTGATCTCTGAGTTCGAGGCCAACCTGGTCTGCATATTAAGTTCTAGGACAGCTAGGGCTGCATAGAGAAACCGTGTCTTAAAAAAAAAAAATCTAAAGATACGAGCTTTTTTTTTTTTTTTTTTTTTTAGGTTGGCCAGCATTATGAAAGAGCTCATTGCACTGGAGGAAGATGGTGTGTTAAGTGGAAAACGATTTGTTAGGGAAATTTTTGTGACAAAATTATGAAAAGACGAAGTAGCTTATAAAAGTGCAAGGTTTGCAATTAGCCCAGCAGTGTCCTGTAGAGCACAAGACTCCTTGTGCCACGGGTCCTTTGATTGAAGGACTGGAGAGGTGGCTCAGCAATTAGGGGTCTGGAGAGGACCTGGCTTTAACCTCCATTGTGCACATGGTTTACTTGCTGCCCAATTTACACTTTGTTCTGTCTTTAAAAAGATCTTCAGGTTAAAAATGAATTCATAACCTAAATAAGCAAAACTTGGCTGGGGAGATGACTTGGCAAGTAAAGTCCTTGCTGTTGAAGCCCGAGGACCTGAGTTCAGATTCTCAGCACCCGCATAATTATGTGCTGTCTACAGGAGATGATTTAGGTTCAAAGGTGCAAGTAGGTTGGCAATAAGATTAAATATGTCACGTACACATAAGTTGCAAGAGGCCATGCCAATCAGACAACACAGGCTTAAATTATTAGAAAATAAGGGTTTGCTTGTAATGATAAGCCCACCTGACCACAGAGTTCCAAACTCATGACCTAAAGCCAACACGATGGAGAAGTCATAGTTGACAACTCAAGTGCTGGGCTGGCGCACCACTGGTTACTGAACAGCATAGCAAGGCTCCATGTCAAAACTGGGCAGAATATAAAAGGTAGTGGGAAATTGAGCAGTGCTGTAACCCAACTAGATCTAATAAATGCACAAGACTAATAGAGTGCTTGCCCTTTCAACTGTACAGGGATGGTTTGAATTAATACAAAATTTAAGCTAGTTAGTGACATGATATTAAGTTGGAAATTTTAAGAATAAGTGAAACTTAACACTAAAATAGCCCATGGATCGAAGAAAAGGGAAAGCAACATTCCCTGAGATGAATGAAAACAACATTGAAGCAAGCAGTGAGGGTAATGCCCAGGACATTACAGTGCAGACATTAAAGAAGAAAGGGATCTAGTAACAGGACAAGCCAAAGCAGACAGCGGGAAAGAATGGGGAGTAGAGCAGAGAATTAAGGAATAGGGAAGAGAAAGTGGAAAATAAAGATTGGTCTTTGTAAAGATGAGTGAAATTCATGAATGTCCAAATCAGGAGAAGAGAAAAAGTTAATAAAATTAGGTACTAAAGGGACATTACTACCAACCTCACAGAACAGAGATATGTAGTGTTATTTAAAAAAATAATTTTTTTTAAAAGCTACCCCATAATATTGCTTTGCTTACATTTTATAAAAACAGTTCCCTCATCAAATGATTTCCTGTGTTGGATTCAGAAAGGCAGAATATAAAAGGTAGTGGGAAATTGAGCAGTGCTGTAACCCAACTAGATCTAATAACATTCTTGGTTATTTCTTTTATCCATTTTTTTAAACATTTTTTAAAACAGTCTATTTTACGTACCAATCCCAATTCCCTCTCTCTTCCCCTGTTTCCCCCACTTCTTCCCCCAACTCCCCATCAAGTCCTCAGGGTGAGGCCTCCCATGGGGAGTCAACAAAGTCTGTCCCATCACTTGAGGGAAGACCAAGGCCCTCCTCCCTGTATCTAGGTTGGTATCCCTCCATAGGGAATGGGCTCCAAAAAGCCAGTTCATGCGCTAGAGATAAATACTGGTTCCACAGCCAGTGGCCCCACAAACTGCCCAAGCCACACAACTGTCATCTATAATCAGAGGGTCTTCAGTCTTATGCAGGTTGTCCAGCTGTCAGTCCAGAGTCAGTGAGCTCTCACTAGCTTGTGTCAGCTGTCTCTGTGGGTTTCCCCATCATGGTCTAGAACCTTTCTTTTATACATCTTCAAATGGATCAAATAAGTTTCCCTGCATCCTTTGGCAAAAGGTTATCTAATAAGCCATTATTTGCCCAAGGTATCAAGAATGTGGATTTAAAGGCACTGCGTGGGGCATATTTGTTCAAGCTATTATTGTTAATATTCATGATCTCCAGCCCATGTATTGTTGAGGTGGTCCTGGTAGTCGTTGGTAACTTCCTGTCTAATCCGAAAAGCTGATTTCTTTATGCTTCCTGCACCAGGCCTCTACTTAACTATTAATTCAAAGAGTTCTGGTTCTTAAAGCAGGAAATTGCATCTAAAGACCAAAAATACATAATGCAGGAAGGAGTGCTTTTAGTCACTGATGGGTCATGTTCTGACTATAGAAATGAGAATTTTCCCCAAAGATAAAATATATCTGTGGTGTTTTGAAAGAGAAGTGTTCCCTATAGTCTTGGACATTTGGATACTTGGTTGCCAGTTTGTGGTCCTGTTTGGGGCAGCTTAGGTGTGGCCTCCTTGGAGGAGGTGTGTCACTGCCAAAGACCCAGGCCATCCCAGTTCGCTTGCTCTCTCTGCTGGTGCTTGCTGCTCAAACTGTGAGCTCTGAGCTTCTGCTCCTGTTGGTCTGCTGCTATACTGCTCCATCATGGTGGACTCTTAGGCCTCTGGAATCGGAAACCTTTCTATAGGTCATCTTGGTCTTAGTTACGGTCACAGCGATGGAATTGTAATTAATATGTTAAGCGTTGACCATCCTACTTCGATTTTCATTTGAGCCAGAAGCTTTTTACTTAAACTTGCTGATCTTAAGTCAGAGGGCAGAAAAAAAAAAAAAAAAACACTTTGGGTTTCAATTACACCAAAAAAAAATTGATTGATTTTTTTTTTTTTTAAAAAAAATAAAGATCATTTCATCCCCAGTCTTGGGACTGGGATCTAAAGTCTTGTGCATGCTAGGTCAGTACTCTACTACTGAGCTCATAATTACCCATGTAGCTTAGGGTGTGCTACAGATGGCCTCAGGATAGCAATGCCACGACCTGGAAAAATCTAATGTTATTTAGGCGATTCTTGTCCTTAGGGCCTGCCCACTTCCACACCAGGTTGGAATTTTCCATTATATGGATTACCTCTATTGTTATCTTCAGAAACAAAATTAGATTTACTTTTTAATGCCTTGTTTTAGAGATTGTCTTTAAAAGTATTTGACTTCTGTAGTACTCTCATGATTACAATGGCAAATTAGCAACGTAAGATTTATTTAAGGAAATGAAACTTTTTAATTCTTTCTCCCTGATAGATTTTAGTGGGTTCCTGTTTTAGACTGTATAGTGATACTTTATTTATGTTGTATAAGTAAAGCTTGCCTAAAAACCAGAAGGTAAAACTAAGCCACTAGAGGCCCGGCAGTGGTGTTGCACACCTTTAATCCCAGGATTTGGGAGACAGAGGCAGATGGATCTCTGTGAGTTCAAGGCCACCCTGGGTTACACAAGATCAATGCAGAAACAGATCCAGGTGGTGGTGGCGGCTCACACCGTTAATCCCAGCACTAGAGAGGAATATAAACTGGAATGAGACAGGAACTCACCTTTCAGTCTGAGGGTTTCTTAGAAGTAAGAACTCTCTAGTGGCTTGGCTGCTTTGCTTTTCTGATCTTTAGGTCAAACTCCAATATCTGTCGCTGGGTTTTTGCTATTCATGCGGCAAATCTGTCTTGTTTTGGTTTGTTTTAACAGAGATGTCTTTGTTAAGCAAATAGAACCTATCTCACGGTGAGTTCTCTGGGATACTGGTTTGTGTGCAGGAATTCAACAGGAGAAGATGGAGAGATGGTGCAACATTTAAAGATGAAAATTGGGAGCTGGAGAAACAGATAGTTAAGAGCGCTTGCTGCTCTTACAGAGAACCCAAGTTCAGTTCCCAGCGTCCATGTCAGACAGTTTATAATTGCTGGTAACTCCAGGACTGAGGAATGGGACACTTCCTTCTAACCTCGTGGCACACATGCATGCATGCAATATATCCACACATTAACATAAACAAACAAACCATTTTTTAATGAAAAGGGGAAAGATGAAATTCAGGCACCAGACTGCAGATGATGCTTGTGTGACTGGGAAGCCAGCCTCCAGAACACTGCACACATTGTCAAGGTAATAACAATTCTGTGGTGGGTGTGGAAAAAAAAATTAAGGAATTAGTATTGGGCAAAGGAGAAGCTGTGGGGTAATGAGTCACAAAGCCCTCGGATGATTCCATGCGAGTGTAGAGATCCTGGTCCTGTGAAGACCCTTCAGATTTGTGCCCTCTTGAAGCCAAGAGTCCAGGTTTTTATGACCTATACCAGAGAGCTGGTGACATAGAAATAAATAGATCCTACGTCAGCCAGAATCCAGGCTTCTGGCTCAGAGTGACCTTGCAGTTCTTTGAGGGCAGTTCTCAGAAAGCAACCCAGCTGGGTGCTGTCAGTTGCCAACACTCTAAAGAGCTATGGAAAGGACCTCTAGAAGGGGAACCTGGGGTGACATGTTACAGCCAATTCAGCCCACCCTTTTGCACTCCCCACACTTCTCAAAGAACAGATTGGGGGACCAGCCTCTTCAGGATTATGCTGGTTTAATTTCCCCAGGAATCTGCAGGAGCTGGGCTTGGGCTTCAGTCCTAAGGTCTCTTCTAAGCATTTATCTCTCATTGTCCTGGAGGAGAATTCACAAGTTACATAGAGTAGCAGTTCCAGCTCAGAATGGGCTCTTTTTATCTGGTACAAGCCTGCCCACTCCCAGGTTTAGTGAGCTTCTGTAGTGTACAGTGTTCCCATGGCAACTTAGGGCATGATTATCAGATAATGTACAGAGTCTGGACATGTTACTGTTATCCAGGGACATGTCAGGGAGTCCCCACCCGCTTCACCGGAGATGAAAAACAATTCATCTTCTTAGCATTGGTGACTCTTCAGACCAGTGTCTTCCACAGAGATCCATACCCCTTGATGACCGTAGGGGTAATGTATTGAAAACGAGATTCAAACCTCATCTGAGTCCAGGTGGCCTTTCCCTTTACTCTAGTTTGTGAGCAAATCACCTCCCCAAATTGGAAACTTTAAATCCCTGATTATTCTTACCATAATAGGAATGGAAAACTTCAAACCCTATGTCTTAGTCTAAAAGATCCAAGTCAGAGAGGTGAGTGAAGCCCTTCCCGGGAAGCATAATACAATTGTTAATGGAGTTTGCTGGGACATGTCCCCTGATGTGGTTATCAGTGTTCGAGTTCTATGGGGCCTTTCCTTGAACATTGGGGTCAGACCATCATGGTCTCTTTGGTAGAACAGAGAACAGAGGAAATCAAAGGCATCCGGATATCTGAGCAAAGACGCCAGAAACCACAGAAAGCCCCCCCCCCCCACACACACACACACAGGCACGGTGCTTTTGGTTTTCTATAGGGATTGGCTTTGAGGCAAGAAGACACCAACTGCAGAGCTGCTCTAGTCACGTTTATTAAGGCAGAAGGAAGTCGTGAGTGGTAGGGTTTCTATCTCTCATTGAAGAGCACATCTCGGTAGGCAGTCATTCCTGGTTCACCTCAACCGAACGCTGTCAGGGCCCCCTGGAAAAGAGAAGCCAAGCTTGAGAGTGCCCTTCACTGCTACCAGAGATTGCTGAGGAGAGGACCTGGGCACCCGAGGTTACTCAGACAGAAACGCATAGCTGCTGGTTCTGAGGAAGGCTCCTGTGAACCCCATGGGGGGGGGGGCAGTTTCTAGGACAAGTGTCATGGCCTGCTGGCAGCCGCTTGTGAAAGGTATGCCCGAATGAACTCCTTGGGCTCCTCACAGGTTGGTTAGGATATGGCTTGCAGAGGCAGAACAGGAAGCAGGGGTTCCCTGATGCAGGCTGGGCTGCCTCCTACATGATGGTGAAGGTGGCTGGGGAGGGGTACCCACATAGGGAGGGAGAGCCATGCAAGGAAGATGTCCACGTTACCAACAGTGTCTTCACAGCCCCTACAGACTCAGGGCCCAGCTCGGTGACACACTTCCTGGAACCCTCTATGAGGGGATCCAACGGAACGCCCAGGCCAGCCAGGATGAACCTCAGGATGCTCAAGTAGCTTAATGGTAGGCTAGGCATGGCCCCAGCCACAGCCTCCGCAGCAGGGGCAACGGCAGCCACGGGTTCTGGCACAGATTTGGCCACTGAGTTCACGAAGAAAGCAATACCTGCCAACACAAACAGAGAACCTAGGGCCTTCTCAAGGATCCTGAAGACCCAGCTCCTCCAGAGAGGGCACCTAGGGGAGACTTCACAGCCACCCACCTACTTCCTGGTTGGTGACTGCCCAGTGTCAGACAAGACACCAACAGTGAGGAAAGGGTGACCTCACAGTGGGCTGGAGGAGGGGAGAGATGGCTGCAGAGAGAGCAATAGGAAATGGGTAGGGTTTCAGAGCTGAGGCCATTCCTACTTTGCCTTAACGAATGGGAGACATTTATCAGGTTTAGAACAGATGGGATGGCCATTCTCAAGCCAGCGCTGGCCTTTGACTCAGTTGTCAAGCTGGTGGGTGAAGAGAAGAAGCCAAAGGTGGGTGGGCATGTGAGAGGTAGCTGGAAGGCTCAGTGGGCCTGACAGAAGAAGGCTTTGAAGGCCACAGGAAAAAAGAGAGGAAAGCCTTGAAGGGGTAAGCAGAGGAGTGTCTGGCTTCCTCTGGAGGCGTTTCTGCTAGAAAAGCTGCCATCAGCACACGCTGCACCAGAGCGGGAGGCTATAGGGCCACATTGCAACTGGAATAGGGGCCAGGAAAGAGCAGGTACTGATGGCAGGTCCCTCCACAGAAGATGCTAAGCCCCAAGGGAACTCACCAGAGTCACTGAGCAGAGCCACACAGAACACTAGGAAGGTGATGGTAAGCTTCATGGTGGAATGAGTCTCAGAAGGTGGACCTAGGACACTCTTCCTAGAGCCTGTTCCTGAGGGTCTCATATATCCAGGGGTAGAGCCCCACCCTCCTGAGAAATATGCTGTTTGCTCAGCTAATAGGCAGAACTTCAGCCAACTTCCTTCTGGGCCGTGGACCCTGGGAGGATTGCACATCCCACCCCAGGCCTGGGGATTTCCTCTTGGCAGGGTCTCCTGATCTCAAGTGCTGGGCCTTTCTTCCTGAGAACGGGAACGGAGGATGTGCTTTGTCTCCGTAGGGCCCACCCTGGCCTACACCTAGATACTGTGGTCTGACCCCACTGCAATGTCACCACAGTCCAGCCCTGGGGCCCAGGCTCCCCACGGGTGTGAAAGGGCTGAATGGTTATGGAGGTGCTGGGGCTGGAAGCCTGAAGAGCACATTGTAAATCGTCAGGTCCCCAAGACCCCAGATCCCCCAGAACTATTGGTCCCTGGTCCCAGGCTACAGAAATGTCACAGTGAGTCTTCCCAGCTCCTGCTGGCGTGGGAGCCCCAGTGTATTATAGCCAGAAAGGAAAGCCTAGTAACCTGGCTGGGTGACCAGTCCTTACTCTTGACTACCTCCTTTACTGGGCCACAGGTAGCTGCTCATGCAAAAGGGTGTGGGTGGTGGGATGTTTCCCTGTCTTTAAAATCCCTCTCAAAGGCTGGGGATGAGGTCGGTGTATTTAGAGTTTCTCTAAAGCCCTTTCTTCTCTGCCGCCTGCAGAATTGAGGCAGAAAACAAAGTGTTGATACCCCTTCCATAGGCCCAGTAATGCTGAGACCTGACTTCAGGAATTTCAAATGTCTCTACCACAGCAGATGAGGCATGGCTTGGTCTTCATAGCTGGTGTGAAGACCCACAGTGGGCAAATCCCCCGTTTTCAGCCCGTAACTCAACACTGACCATACTCACAGCGGCCCTGCTCATTCCTTACATCTTTTCCTTACTGTCCGATCTGGGAGGTTTTTATCAGTCACCATTGGAATAGTAAGTTCAGTGGGAAATGAGTTTGTAACTTGTGAGGCCTCACCCCCTTTTGACAGTTTTCCTGGAAGGAATGCTTGCAAGACGGTATCAAGACCATCTGTGTTACTGTGGATCTAGTGGGCTCCACTGCCACCCCCAGAATACCCTGAGCCTCTTCCTCAGGAGGGCACATTCAGGAAATGGATGCTGTTCTGACCAGCCACCTTCCTGAGAAGCCACACCCAACTGACTTGCCAGCAGTGTCTACCTTAACCATGGCTTCGCTTGCCGTGATAACTACAGTCTGAAACATTAAACAGAGAATTTCACAACTAACAGTTCTCAACTCTTTTAAGGATTTTACCAGGTGAATCCACCTTCCTTTTCTTCTTTTTTATCTTTGAATTTATAATTATAAATACAGGCTGTGATATTGGTGTGTTTCACTGTGACATTTCCATGTAGCATGCATGTTGCGTTGACCACGACTCACCTGTCCAGTGCTCTTTCTTGCCCTCCGTCTTCCATCTTCCTCCTCTACCCCGTCCCCTTGCTCTACTCTAGTATTGCCTCTTCTGCTTTCAGCCGTGTGTGTTGTATTTCTGGATCCCGTGTATGAGAGAAAACATGGAATATTCATGACGAAGCATGTTATTTAGTCTATGTGTCTATATTTTTTGCTATGTCTCCTGATGTTGGTTTCTGACTTTATCTCATTATGATCTGATCAGATGCAAAAGATCATTTAAATATTTTGTATTTGTTAAGACTTGCTTTAGAGTGTAAAACATCTATTTTGGAAAAAGTTTCAGAAATGAAAAAAAGTAAAATGTATGGTTTTTTTGTTGTTTTTTTTTAAAAATATTTATTTATTTATTTATTATGTATACAATATTCTGTCTGTGTGTATGCCTGCAGGCCAGAAGAGGGCACCAGACCCCATTACAGATGGTTGTGAGCCACCATGTGGTTGCTGGGAATTGAACTCAGGACCTTTGGAAGAGCAGGCAATGCTCTTAACCTCTGAGCCATCTCTCAAGCCCCTAAAATGTATGTTCTTGCTGCTGGACAGAGTATTCTGTAATGACTGCTAACTTCAGTTATCTAATGCAATGGTTTTCAACCTGTGGGTCGCAGCCCCTTTGGGGGTTGAATGAGCTTTCACAAGGTCGCATGCCAGATGTCCTGCGTATCAGATATTCACATTACAATTCGTAACAGTAGCAAAATTACAGTTATGAAGTAATAACGAAAATAATTTTGTGGCTGGGGGTCAGCACAGCATGAGGAACTGTGTTAAAGGGTCGCAGTAGTAGGAAGACTGAGAACAATATCTCTCATATACCACAGCATGAGGAACTGTGTTAAAGGTCGCAGCACTAGGAAGACTGAGAACAATATCTCTCATATACCGTGTTGTCCTTCTTAATTCACTAATAATTTGTTGCTTTTTTTTTTTTTAAGTCGTGAGTCACTTAAAAATGTTCTGAATTCATTCTTTGTCCAGCATTTCATCCACTTTGGTATCTTTGGCTTCTCAGTTACTGAAAAGCTATGAATTTCTGGAGGAGTCATCTGAACCCCACACCATGTTTCTTGTGTTTCTGTGCTGAGATTTCTGCATATGTTGGGGTGGATAGTGTCTTTTTTGGTGTGTGGGGGGTTTCAGTGATTAGCTTCTCTGGAGAACTCCATCCCCAGTCCTGTCCAAAGAGGAAGCAGTGGTAGCAACAGCACGTAAAAGATAAATCAGATACAGCGGTACACTTTGAAAATTTAAACACTACTTTCCGCCGGGCGGTGGTGACGCATGCCTTTAATCCTAGCACTCGGGAGGCAGAGGCAGGCGGATCTCTGTGAGTTCGAGGCCAGCCTGGTCTACAGAGAGAGTTCCAGAAAGAGAGAGAGACAGAGATTGAGGGAGAAAATAGTGTAAGTACAGGCAATAAAGCAGAGGGGAATATGATGGAGTAAAAAGAAAAACAGCTAGCGGGGAAGGGGTTGCAGTAGCAATGTGTAAAGACACATATGTATAAAGATGCCACGAGGAAAGTAATTACTCTGGATCCTAACTAAAAATTAGCTTTAAAAACGACCACAGATCTAATCCATACTGCACAGACATCCGTGATGCCTTTGCATGCTTCTTGAAGGTATGACTGACCATTGGCCCCGCCCATCTCTAGAACCCTTCATCTTACAGAGCTGAAACCCGTGCCTCCTCTTCCTCTCTTCTTCATGTCCTGGGAAATTACCATCCTGTCCTTGCCCCTTAGGTAACTCTAGATCCTGCTATAATGTCATGGATCAAGACAAGGCAAGCAGGGACCGCTGCAGCTGGAAGTGGGGTTGTTGGATCATCGTATTTCTTGTTTTTGAGTAATCACCATTCTTTTCCATAGCAACTGCGCCATTTTGCATTTCCACAAATGGTGCGTGTATATACTCTTTGGCAGTCCGTATTCTCTTCCGGCAGGATTCCAGCGGCCCAAGTTTAGGCAAAGCCCTGAATGACCCAAGAGGCCGAGAGGAGGTGGAGGCCTGACATCCATGAGGCTTCAGTGTCTTGTGGACTCCTGGTGTCGGTGCAGTGGCCTACCTGAGCACCCTTCCTGGAATTCTTTGTCTTTAAAACAACCTTCCAGCAGGATGTAGTGTTGCAGATCGGGCTTCATAACAGTGCCCTGTATTAAAAACAAACAAACAAACAAACAAAAAACAGAACAAAACAAAATGAACTTTCCTGGGGCTGAACGGTAGCTTACTAGCGGAGTAGTTGCCTCGCAAGAGGAAGGCCCTAGATCAGATCTCCAATGCTGAAAACTGACAAAGACAAAACCCAGCAAAACCAGAAACCCCTCAAAACCCAACCCCTTCCACCTTCGCGATTCAACAGGTTGAGTGATCCCTTCCTGACTTCCCATGAGCCTGCAGTGTGACCACAGGCCTTCGTCACATGACCGCCAAAAGCCATCCTCACAGTATGTGTGTCTATATTCCCCCTCCCACACACTTTCCCCGGCTGCAATCATCCAAGCCAGGGCTTGTCCCCATCAGGACCAATCCTTCACCACACACTGACTTTTAGAACTGTCCTTGTGACCATGCTTGGGGCTAGTCCCTGGGGATAGTTGAGATTGGCCTGCATCATGGGGCAGATGAAGTGCCTCTGATTTATCTGGAGGCTGCTGTCAACACCTCCCTGGTGGCTGGAAAAAGCACACAGTTTCTTGCTCACTCTGCTGGAGACCACTGGGTTGAAAGCCAAGGGTTGCCAGGGCTGTACTCCCTCAGCAGCTCTGTGGGAAGGTCCACTCCTGGCTTCTTCTTGCTCCTGGTGTTCCTTGGCTCTGACTGTATCCTTCCAATGCCTGTTTCTGCCATCAGATTGTCAGTGTGTGTGTGTGTGTGTGTGTGTGTGTGTGTGTGTGTGTGCGTGTGTGTATGGTCTCTTTGCCTTTCTATTATGACTACATGTGATTGCCTTTAGGACTGACCCAGAAAATCCAGGAGAATTGCCTTGTCTCCAAATAATGAACTTAGTTGGATTGCCAACCCTCCACGGAAAGTGACATTCAAAGGACTTGGCAATTAGCACCATTTACCTTTTCCTTCAATACCTGTGTTGCTTTCTCACAGGCCAGTGGAGCGTCTCCAGTGGGTGTCAAAGCCTACCTGGCATGTGGAGAGAGAGGGGGAAGGGTGGTCAGCGTCCACTCTGGACCTCCTCCACCCAGTTCCTGTACGCCTGTCCCCTGGTGGCGGAGCGCTGGTTCTGATACAGAGGAAATGCTTGGCACTTCTTCAGATAACAGGGTCAGCTTGTCCCAGGACATGTTTGCAGGACATCCCATGGGCCAAAACAAACATTCATGCCTTGCCTATCCTCTGGGAATTCAGGAAGTGCTAGACGTAAACAGTGGCTTTGAAGGCTCTGAGCAGGAGCCAGACATCCACTTTGGAACTGTGGAAGGACCATGAAGGCCTCAGAGCTGGGTGCTCAGCCAATGGGGTGCTCCAGCAGAGGGGGCCTCCGCCATGGTTCCTGAATTCAAGAAACCCCAGGGGGGAGGTTTTCCAGGCAGGATGCTCAGGGCTATGCCCCAGGAAACAAAGACAGCCTGTTTCAGGGATTGAGCCTGTGGCAACAACAGAGGCCTGTCTGCTCCTTCAAGGTTCATCAACACGCCCCCTGTTTGAAAAGCCCCCAGGGCTGACCATTCTTTTCCCATGCTTAGATTCCTATCCCAGGCCCAACTCAATGCCCAGCCTGGCTCCAGGGTCTCCTTGGTCCATGTTTGGTGCCCCTCCACTCATGTGTACATACCTGAGCCCAAAGTATGGCTGTCATGGGCATGCAGACCTGGAGCTGAGATGTGGGCTTAGACCGTCAGCAAAGCAGCTCCCTTATTATTTTTCCTGCTTTCCTTTTGCCAGTCACTAAGATATGCCACCCAGAGCTCTCCCTGGTACCCAGGCTAGTACATTATTAATCAAATTGTGGACCCAATTCCATCTCTCAGTTAGGAGTAGTTGCCCCTCCTGAGCAGGTAGACCAGCTTCTCCGCCCTTCAGACAAGGCATCTTGATCATTACTCATCATGGGAGTTGTCGGGGGGAGGCTGTGAGTCTTCCATGATAACCTTTTCAGTTTTTCCCATGACTCATTGCCTTGTTGCCTTGCTGTGGACTAGCTAGGTGGGAGCTCTGTCGTGTGGTTATTCTGTGCTGCTGTAGGATTGGTTATTCTGTGCTGCTGTAGGATTGGTTATTCTGTGCTGTTGTAGGATTGGTTGTTCTGTGCTGCGGTAGGATTGGTTATTCTGTGCTGCTGTAGGATTGGTTATTCTGTGCTGCTAAAGGACTGGTTATTTTGTGCTGCTGTAGGATTGGTTTTACAGAAATTGCTCCCATCTCTGTGTAAGGCCCAGGAAGGCTGGAGCTTGCAAATGGACTGTGTTGGGTTTCTCTTCATTCTTTCTGCATTCTTTTCCCACCAGGAGGTGGGGATGGATGAACAGCCTCTGGGGTGAGCCAGTATGCAGTCTCTTCCCAAGATCCTGGGCCCCTTCTTAAATCTATGGACACGTCTGATCTCAGGTTTCCTTCCTTCCCACCAATATGGTCATCTTTATCCTGATGTCATCATCCCGGGTCATGACAGTTGGATGGCCAAGGAGTGGATCCTTCTATCTCTCTCTTGCTTGAGTAGTCACCACAAGACCAGGCGGGTACACTGAGGCTCTACTGGCAGCTAAGATGAGGCCACCACAGCAGGGTCCTGGATTCTGTTTAACACCAGGTAAAGGCGGCTTGAGGAAGAAGCCAGGATCTATTAGGTACGGCTGGGGCCACTAGCAGGGTCAGAGCAGTGAGGGTTGCTGAGCTCTCCCGGAATCCCTGGCTCACCCACCAGGAACATAGAGGTGCTGTGCCCTCCTCTGGGGCCACTCATGAATCTCTGCCAGCATGTCCTCCTCAGTGGCCTTCTTCCTCCTTCCTCATAGCTCAGCCAACTGGGCCGTGGGGTTCTTCACATTGGTGTATCCAATGTGCCTTGCTGGCACTTGTATGGACACCTTCACTTTGGTCAATATTGATCTGGCTCTTTCAAGCACTTCATTTTTCTTCTTTCTTTCCCAAGGCCCCCTACAAAGGGCTCTGTAGTGGAGAGGGTGGGACAGAGCTGTCAGCATGGTTCTCGCTGGTAGGGCTCTGGGGATTTCACTTGGCCCCTGGGATTGCAAGGCAAGCCCTTTATTGACTAACCTATCTCTTCATCTCTTGGTGGGGTAGGCTCATATACATAAACACTTGGTCCTCAGTCAGCGCAGCTGTTTGAGCTGTTTGGAAGGGATTAGGAGGCACGGCTTTGTTGGAAGAGGTATATCGCTGGGGGAAGTCTTGGAGGCTTGTAAGACCCATGCAGTTTCTATTCCCCTGCCTCGGTCTCATTTGTAGGTCAGATGCAAGCACTAAGCTGCTGCTCTTGTGTCAAGCTTGCCTCCCTGCTGCCATTCTCCTCACCATAACAACCATGGATTCTAACTCTCTGGATCTGTGAGATGCAGGCTAAAAGCTTCTTTTTTTTTTTTTTAAGATTTATTTATTTATTATGTACACGGTGTTCAGCCTCCATGTATGCCCTCAGGCCAGAAGAGGGCACCAGATCTCATTACAGATGGTTGTCAGCCACCATGTGGTTGCTGGGAATCGAACTCAGGACCTCCGGAATAGCAGTCAGTGCTCTTAACCTCTGAGCCATCTCGCCAGCCCTAAAAGCTTCTTTTATGGGTTGCTTTGGTCATGATGTCTTGCCACACCAAAAGGAACTAAGACACTTGGCTTCTTCTAACAAGGGAAAAGCCCCATTGCTGAGGGCTCCACCTTTTGGCCTGATTCCCTCCGGAAGGCTCTGCCCCTCTTACCATCCTCTTGTGATGGGGTCTGGAGAGGTCACAAGGGTTCAGCCCACCGCAGATGTCTACAGAGATGAGTGTGTATGTGATGGAGGAATCTCATCGACTTGATTGGACCGATGCCTACGACATCAGGAAAGCACACCTCTGTAGGTTCTAGGAAGGTTTTGTCAAGAGAGAATTAACTGAAGGAGTGATTTATGCTGGATGTGGTGGGTAGCATCCTCCAGAAGACTGGGGTCAAGATGTAACCAAAGGGAAGGGGTGGGGGTGGGGAACTTGCCAGTGGACATGACTTGGTGGGATCGGAACACCCTCCAGTACCACATTTTTTACCACTGCTCTCAAGACGGCAAGTCATGGGGAGACACTGAGGAGCTGATGGGCTCTGGTGTACCCCAGCTTACCCAGCTTCAGGGAGCCACATCTGATCACTTACCTTCCTCTCTCATTCAGCCTTGCACAACCTCACAGTCCAGTCTGGTCTTGCCTCTCTGGCTAGTGAGAGAGGAGATCCAGTTCTGGGGACAGGCTTCTGTCTCCGAGTCTGTGGTCAAATGCAATTAATTATAGCACAACATTAAGTGTCAAAATATTTGCATTTAGTGTGAATTTTTTTCCCTTTTAAGATTTAGATTTAGTATAGAAGCCACGACAAGACAAAGCACCCTGCCACTAGCAGTTACTGCTATGGGGAGAGGCTCCTCCCACCAGAATGAAGAAAACCAGGGGACAGCAGGAATCACGGGACAGGCTCAGAATGTGCAGCTGGCCTACCAAAGTATTGACTTGTCTCCGGCCTTTGCCGGGCTCTTTCCTGTTCTCTTGGGCGAGGGGCCCATCCGGCTGTGCTGGCTGCCTGTTCTTGGGTGCTTAAGTCCCCACCCAGCCTGGTCAGCTGACAGGCCTGCTGCCACCCAGTGGCCATCGCTGGCTTTCGCTTCTGGGCCCTTGGGAAACAACCTGGAGACAACCTCCGGGGTATGCTGGACCTGCTTTCTTGGAAGAGGGCGTAGGAGCTGGTGTAGAGGACTTGCCTGGAGCTGAGCCTTCTGTGTCTACCACTGCTGGTGCTCAAGGGGCAACAGATGACTTTGGTAGGTGGCAAGAAAGCACTACTTTACATTATAGATGAAGTAAGGATTAGGAGAACGTGTGTGTAAGCAGGCTGGTGTAGACAGAGGAGGTGAAAGCTGAGCAGGCAATCTAATGTCTCGTCAGCGCCCTCTGCTGGCAGTTTCGGGGAATGTGAGCAAGGGGACCACGCCATGGTTCCTTTGAGCCCAGAGGCCTTTTTGGACTATATATGGTGAAGACCAGAATTTGACAGACAGCTTATTCAGAATCCATTCATTATAACTCAAAGACTGGCATCAAATTTATTATTATCTTTCGTTAAATATCTTAGATCATTTCAGAGAACACTGCCTGAAAGGGCAGAGTATGTTTTTCTTCCCCAGTACATTTTGTATGTTTGTAGTTACAAGGCAGGAGAGGTGACACAGACAGGTGATACACACGTGGGGGAGGGGTGAGAAGGGCTCTGCGCCCCCATTGTAGCCTTTGGTCCTCTGAGAGAAACAGTCTCTCTGCTTCCACGAGGCAAGTTTGAGACTCAATCCCACAGACAGGTTAGATGTGGAGGAGTGGGGGTGGGGGAGGGCCACGGGGGACAAAGAAGACGAGAGTCATACATGCATTCAACATATCATAGAGGAACAATACATTGAGTGGGGGAGGGTCTGCCGAGCAAGCCCCTGCTTGCTGTATGGTCGCCTGTCCTGCAAGCGCTCTTGCGGGGGTGGAGCTGGGATTGATGGGACTCTGCAGGTTGGACAGTTTGAGCCGGGCTGGAGGGGTTCTGAGCAGGAAGGCCCCAGCTTCCATGGTGCAGTCTCTCAGGACGAAGGTTTGATTTGTTCAGGTGTCAGTATCAGGTATAAGTATAGGTTTAGCAGAAGGCAGGGGCCTCCAAGGGGCCTGGGGACATGGAGCGATGGCTGAATGGCCCTGGGCCATGTGGTCCTCTGTGCCAGCACCCAAAGCCTTCCTTGACAGAATCCACAGATCCTGGCTCTAGCAGAAAGACCCAAGCAAGGGTTTCTCAGGTTCTGGGCCATGCACATGGAGCCTGGGAGACTTCAGGAGAGAGACCGAGAGCTGTAGTGGCTGGTGTGCCAGGATGGCCCTTCAGGTAGTTGCTGGGGACTGAGATTCAGAAGGACTGTCCTCGGGCTCCTTTCCCACACAACTCTTTGATGAGTATATCCTTCACAGCAGCGCCTGGTCTTCTGATAATAAAAAAATGGATCTTCTCAGCACTCGAGCAGAGGTGCTGCTTCGCTGTGCGGTCTCTCATTGCACACAGTTGCCACGGGCTAGTGAGTGTTTAGAGGACTTCTCCTCCATTCATCCTTCCGGGCTTTGAGGTGGAAATGTGATCAGCTCTCTTCAGCCCTGGTGGGCCAGAAGAAAGAAACGGGAAGACAGATGGAAGTGGGGGACTTCAAGTCGGGGAGGGGAGGGGACTTCAAGTGGGGGAGGGGTCGTGTTTGGACCAGGACGTGGAGGCTGTGGTCTAACTCGACCTGGATCCACTGTGTGACTCTCAGACACATGTATTCTTTATCAGAATCCTGTTACCCACCAGCGTGATCAAAGCAGGTGCCGGAGAAGGGTTCTTTGCTGGAGTGCCTACCCAAGGGCCAGCATCTGTGAACGCTGAGCTACCAGGCAGCTGAACTGTGAGGGTGAGGATGACTGTTTGATGAAGGGCGCAGGGGTGGTGCAGAGTTCAAGGGAGCCCTTGTGTCTGAGTGTGACTCTTCCTGGCTAGGAAGACTGTAGAGGGGGGATAGAAAACTCCTCCAGAGCTGGAGTTAGAGATGAATGCCCAGTCTGGGCCTCCAGCCTTGCTCTGCTAGGGATGTCCTCCAGACCAGTCGCCAGAGCCTGGTTTTAGCAGGGGGTAGGAGGCCTTGCCGAGTGTTTCCTTAATAGCCATTGTCTGTGAAGAATGGGGAGCCGGAAGATGGCGAGCATTCGTCTTCTTTACAAGGCTGGGAGACATCCCCGTACTCGCTGTTGTAAAACACCTTGCCTCCTTGTGCCCCTTGGGTGGGCCGCCGACGCCTCCCCTGGGGGTCAGGGTGTCCTCTGGGGATATCCATGTGCTGGCCAGGACCTTTACAGCTGCTGAGACAGGAAGGGTGGTCTTAATAAGCAAAGTGAGGAGGACCCCGAGTCAGGGTCTGATTGGAATCACCAGACACAGTAGAGCGTGGTGCAGGCACAGATGCTCTGAGGTGCAGATTTGGCATCAGCCAGCACAGCAGCCAGATCTGATGTGACAGGGACAATTTTCCTGCCCCAAGCCCCGACACAGGGCCTCGGAAATGGCAGAAAGAGATCTCTCCAGCCTCAGCTTTCCCTGTTTAATAAAGATCCTTCTGCGTTCCTGTTTTAGTTTTGCAGTAACTTCAGATGGAGAGAATGTGTGTTTTTCTCTTTGTGAACACTCATGCTGGAATTTCCTACACCAGAAGTAGCAGGTTGACCCCCTGCAAGGGTTATCACGGTTCCTAAGCGGGAAAGTCAATCCTCAGTGCCACTGTGAGGCACGATGATTTGGTTCGGGCAATGGACTGATGTCAGAGAAACTGGGGTCCTCTTTCACACTGCTCTTACATTGCTGTGGGGTCACACTACAAGAAGGACCCCACCAGACCCCGGGACCCTACCTTCAGACTTCTCAGCCTCGAAGGACATCAACTCCACTTCTGCTCCCTCTAAGCCACCCAGGCTCAGGTTTGCCATGACAGCAGCAGAAGGTAAACCGAGACTGGTGGCTTCCCAGGTTCCCTCATCCAAAAGCGCCATCCCAGACCCACATCTTTAGTTTCACCGCAGGTCCCCTTGACTGCATCCTTTCCAAAACCTCTACCGTCCTGCTCTATAGCAAAGCCACAGCCAGCACTTTCCGTGCGGTCCTGCAGCCTGATCCAAACCTACATCTCTCAAGCTCGCCTTCCACCCATGGAGGAACAGGGTTCTGCAGAGTGTGGAGAATGGTCATTTGAAAAAACAAATGATATAATTGGAGTTGATGAAAAGTGTGGCCCAAGGGTTAAAAAAAGTGGGAAGGACCTGGGCCAGTCAACTCCCTCTTCCTCCTAAGACTTCGCCCATCCACAGCCTGTCATTCCTCAGCACCTGCCCAGTGAAATGCTACTCCTTTTAAGAGTTCATCCTGATGCATTTCCAGGGAAACCTGTGCAAACAGGAGCGCCCTCTGCTGCTGTCCTGGTGAACTGCAGCTTCTGCAATAAATGCTTTCTCTCCCTCCTCTTCTAGCCTCTTCCCCTAGCCTCTCTTCCTCTGAATTATGGACATCATCTTACTTCTGTAGGGTCATTATCTTATCTTTCAGAACTTTCTTCTTCCCTCGTCACCAGGCAGCAATCCCCTCCAGTTCACCAACCTCTCTGAAGCAATGCCTTCCCAAGATAGCTGCCTCTGGAGCTTCAGACTTGGGCCAGCGTCTTTGCTCTTCTCTGTTAAGCTTAGCCTTCTCCATTGTTTACTGTCTGTGTGACACATGGCTTTCATGGGACTATCCCCAACTGGCCCTCCTGCTGTGGCTTGGGCCTGGTTCTCTTTAGCATGATATGTCAAGAACAGACACCCAAACACACACACGCAGATGCAGGAACACACACACAGAGATAGAGAGACACACACACAGACACACACATACATAGACATACATACACACATAGACACATATAGACACAAATACACAGATACACAAAGACACAGACACACATGGACACAGAGACACAGATACACACGCATAGATATACATATATACACACAGACACAGTCACATAGACACACATACACACCCACACAGATACACTCACACAGAGACACATACACAGATACACATAGAGATACGGACACAAAATACACACAGACAGAAACACAGAGACACAGACACACACAGACAGACAGACAGACAGACACACACACACACACACACACACACACACACACATAGAAATACGGACACAAAATACACACAGACAAAAACACAGAGACACAGACACACACAGACAGACACACACAGACACACACACACACAGACAGACACAGACACACACACACACACACACACACACACAGACTTCCTCAGGTACATCACAGGCATGAGCCGAGTGCCTTCATTCTAGCTCCTCGAGGAACCGTCTGTTTAAGGAAGTGTGGAGATTTGGATTTCCGCCGTCATCATCCCTTTTGGTGGTGGGGAGTGGGGCAGGGCACTGATGGAGCAGTAATTTGGGTCTCAGAGACACTCACTTTGAAAACACAGAGAAAATAGGAGGAGGCACAAAATCTTTCCAGCAAGAGTGCCGGAGCACTGCCCGGCCCCGGCTGCACTAGCAGGCGCCCGCTCAGGGCCCTCCCGAGGATGGCATGCCCACTTCTGGAGGCCCTTACCTGAAGCTGCCTTCTTGTCTATGCCTGCTCTCTATCTGCTCAAACTCCTCCGAGGCCAGCACCATCCCGCTGTCTGTCTGGTTATCCTGTGGGGAGAGAACCAGCCAAACCTGTGGGCCATGTGTGAGGCTCTCTCGCAGGGCAGCTGCGTCCCAGCCTGGCCAGGTGTCGAGGAACCTGAGCCTTGCTGGCCTTATACCTATATCTATGGGGATTGGTATATCTATGGGGACTGAGCTAGGCCAGTTGTTTCCAGCCCAACAGAATGTGTAGAGAGGGCCACATCTCTGACACACAGTGAGAAACTATGGCCTTGGTGGAGGTCTGGAGGGGAGGAGCTGTGTCTGGTCCGTGGGACACTCCAAACCGGACAGGCTGAGCGTGCACTCATTCTGAGTCCCCTAGGAGGCAAGAGCTGGAATGTCAGAGCTATTCCCAAAGGTCTTCACTGAGTGCGGAAGATGTAAGCCTAGGTATCTGTGGCCTTCTCAAGGGCCCCCTCCTGAAGACCCTATCACCCCGGCTTCTAGGGCCACAGCTCACTGTGTCCAGCTGAAGCACTGACCCCAGGCCCTCGGCTACCTGAGTTCAGGCCTGGAGAGCCAGGCTCATCAGTTACAAACAGACACACTTGTTGAGTGTCACAGAGCCTCACCACATGTGACCTGATCTGAGGACATAAGGTGTCCACGACTGAGTGGACACCCTGCAAACTTCCTGTTCCCCACATCCTAACCTCTTTCAATGACACTTGTGCTCTCTGGGTTAGCGGTGCCAACCACCACCCGCAGGGTCTTCTGTGGTCTAGGCAGTTGGAATGTGAGCTCTCTGCCCCCATTCACATATATGTATATACATATATATATATATATATATGTATATATATATATATATATATATATATATATATGAATATACATGAATGTCACGGTGTGTGTCTGAAGGTCAGAGAACAATTTGGAGTCAAATTAACTCTTTCCACCATTTGGAAGGGATTGAACTCAGGGTTGTAAGCTTGTCCATTGAGCTGTCTCACTGACTCCAAATTCTCTCTCTCTCTCTCTTCATCTCTTTCCTTAAAAGCCATGGTTTCTACACAGCTGGGATAAAATGGGCAGGGAGGCCACGTGTGAGAATGACCAGCAGCTGAGAGAGGAGAACTTGGAGTGACCACCAAGATGCTTAAGGTGTTCCCTGGGCTTGATATTTTCAAGGACTTTCCCAAGGAGACAGACACCTTCACGCCTGTGTACTGTGACCTGACTCACGGCAGGTGAGCGACTACCAGCCAAGGTGCCGTCAACAGAGGATGGAACAGAAAAATGTGGTGTGTGCACACAATGGGGTTTTATTCAGCCACAGAGAAGAATAAAACACTTTTCTTTGCAGGAAATGAATGGAATTGGAGGAGACCACGTTAAGTGAAATAAGCCGCACGGAAAGACGAGTACGGCACGTTCTCTCACGTAGAAGCTAAAAAACGGTTGACCTGGAAGTAGAACAGCCATTAGTAGAGGTTGGGAAGAGGGAGAGGAAGTAGATAAAGGGAGGCTGAATTTTTTTTTTTTTTTTTTTTTTTGTTTTTTTGAGACAGGGTTTCTCTGTAGCTTTGGAGCCTGTCCTGGAACTAGCTCTTGTAGACCAGGCTGGCCTCGAACTCACAAAGACCCGCCTGCCTCTGCCTCCTGAGTGCTGGGATTAAAGGCGTGCGCCACCACCGCCGGGCAGGAAGCTGAATTTTATTAGTGCATTCTAGATGCATGTCTTGAAATATCATTGCATCTATTAATATATACAATTACAAATTAATAAAAAATTAAAATACTTTAGAAGTCTTGCTTGCTTTTCCTCCCTCCACCTGCTCTTACCACGGAGGCTTTGTAGGTTGTAGGGGTCATGGGGAATTCTTCAAACGTCTTCATCCTGGAGGAACCTGGAGTCTGAGTCCCTCTGGTCAGGCACCCAGGAAAGGACACACAATTGTAGTATCTGTGGGGAGGACACAGAAGGTTCTGATGAATTCATCCTAGCTTCTCCCATCGCTCAGGCTGCTTCTCTTCCCAGTGAGAAAGGCCTTGCAGCTGGAGGCAGAGTATGGGCGGGGCCTAGGTCCAAGATCTGGACTGGTCCTCAGATTCCACGCTGGTGCCGTGTCACAGCTCAGCTGACCTTGGCATGCCCCTCCTCACTCCTTCCCTGCACTGCCTTTTCTCTCCTGCAGAAGAGAACTGAATCCAGTGTTGGGGCCCTGCTGTGGGAGGGGAGGGAGTAGCTACCCCCAGGCTGAGCATGGTATGGAGTCCAGTGGCAGGTATGACCTTCTCCTCAGAATGGGCCACTGGGACGAGGCAGGCCATTTTCCTGTTATTAATTATTGACTGCCCTGCCCACATATGCACTGTGTGCACAGTGTCAGTATGCACAGGGTGTTGGGGGGCTTGGTGAATGCAGTCTGGCAAGCACCAACTTGCTGTTCCGTCCCCAGGCATGTCGCTGCCCTGAGCATAGGGGACAGGAGATGCACATGAGGCAGGAGTCCTGGAGTCCCAGCCTCTGTCATGCTGGCGAGAACATGAACGGTACAATCTAGTAGGGGTGTAAACAGCCAAGTGTAAGAGACCTTGGACCCAGAGTTCTAGAAACAGGTTGTTTCACTTCTGGGATATGGTGAGTGTGTGGTCTTCACTGCTCTGAGGGCCTTGTCCATGGTCCTGGGGACATACTCTGGAGAAGAAACAGCAATTGCACCCTAGTAGGGATCTTGGCCCAAACACAGCTACTCTATTTTGTGTCCACAAAGAAAAAAATGTTCAAGATGGATGCTCTCTTGAAAGTGGGATGAAGGAGAGAGAAACAGATTTGGAGGAGGCCGGTCCTGTGGTTTGGATATGGTTAGAGTGTGTCGCCAAGGTCCGTGTGCTAGAAGTTTCATCCCCCATGTGGGGACACAGAGGTGTGGCCGAGTGCATGGGAGCACCAGCCTCAGAACGTTGGCCCTCAAGATGCTGAGATGCTGTAAGAAGAGCAGCGAGGGCCTCTGGCTCCCTCTGGCTCCCGTTCTCACCACAAGCTTTCTTCTTCATGTGCTTCTGCTATCATGATACCACCTGCCACGATGCTCTCTCCAGAGATAAGCAAATGTGGATGCCATGTTCTTCAGTCTCCATAGATGGGAACTGAATGGGCCACTTTTCTTTTTAGAGCTCCCAGCCTCAGGCATTTTGTTACAGCAATGGGCTAAGACACTCATGGGAGGAGACCTCTCAAGTCACTGTATGTTGCTCTTCCTTGAGTACTCATAAAACATGACATCTCCAAACTGCTGTCACCATCAGACCCATGCCCAGCCCTGGGGAGAGAGACACCGACCTGGCTGCCAGGCTGTGGCAATGCAGACTGGGTGGACTACTCTCGGCGTCGGCTTCGGTGATGTGCAGAGCTGTGGTGGACGCCTGCATGAAGCCACCCTCCTCCGAGCTCTGAGAACTGTGCAGGGCCATGCATTCCTCTTCCTCCTCCTGGCAGGAACGCGAGAAGTTTCCAGGGTCAGAGGCTACCCCATGCCCACCCTCAGTCTTAACGCTGCACTCAGGACTACTGTGGTCTCAACCTCGGCCACAGGGTCGGGATTGGGTTGTGCTTGTGATCGAGTACTCTGAGGATTAAGTGCGTCTATGGTGGGCCCTAGCACACTTTAATGTCCACAGCAGGCCAAGCGTGAAGGTTGCTAGATGCCTGCTAGGCTGGCCTTGTTCAGTTCTTCCAACCGCCCTTCCAGGTCCAGGAAAGTGGGACAGGCCAGGCCTCAGCAGGGCATTCTCGAGTCAGGTTCTAGAGCATAAGGTATCAGTCCCAAGCTGCTGCTTCTGGGAAGGGAGACATGGAGGATACACAAGTCCAGTGTTCCTGTGCTCAGGGGTGCCAGGAGGTAAATTTGCTACCATTGTGTTTGAGGATCGCATTGCCTTGCAGGCTCTGACCATCGATCTGTATGGCAGCTAGAGCAGTCCCTGGTGATGTTTGCCCAGCTTCATGTTGAATGAGATGGAGCTGTGGGCAGTGGGAGGATAGGCCCGTGGACTTGAGGTCAGACATGTATGACCCTTGCTTGGTAACTGACAGGTGACCAGGGCTTAGAGGGACTTAGAAAGACAGACGGGGCAGGAACTCAGGATTGGGCCATGGGTGGCAGCAGGAAAGGACAAAGATGGGGCTCACCTGCCAGCCTCCGCCCTGGAGCAGGTCTCCCAGGATCTCCACTAGCTCGGAGAAAGCCGGCCTCGCTTTAGGGTCTCCAGACCAGCAGCTCTGCATGATGTGGCGTCTGTGGGTTGCAGCTGGCTGTTGACCTGTGGTCTGAGTGCACCATGACCCTCCCACCAGCCAGTCCCATCACTCCTGTATCGCCTGGGTTATTATGGCAGTATGGATAGGCAGTGTGTCCCCCTAAGGTTCATGTAATGGGAGCTTGGTCCCTAGAATGGTTGACCACTGTTGAGGTGATGGACTTTACAGAGATGAGACTCGCTGAGAGATCAAGGGGGCTCATGACTGGATTAATGCTCGTCTTGAGGGGTGGGGTCTCCTGAGAGCAGGCACTTGTTTCCTGTCTCACTATGTGATCTGTCACTTTCATGTGCTCCCGGGATGATGCCATCTGCTATACTGGGGTGCAGACAGCAGGCCCCCACCAGAGCTGAGTTAGACAAAGGGGTGTGTGTGTCTGCTTTTGAACTTCCAAAATTGAGCTACAGAACCCTCCCCTGCTCCTTATTAAGTGTCTGGTGTCCAGTATGCTATAGAAAGACAAAATGGACTGAAGTCTGTCCATTTGTTCTGCTGTTTCTACTTCAGATTTAGTACTGACTGTCTCTCCTGCCTGTCCCCATCCTTCTCTAGACATTTTCAGTCCCTAAAGCATTTCTAGTGCTTCTCAGGTGCTCCCAGGGTGTCTGTGTCCCATCTCATTATGTGACTATCATCAGCGTATGTCCTCAGGGGCGGGGACCTGGCCTGCTTTTTGGGCTCTGGGTTTCCTGAGGATAGCACAGCAGTGGGTCCAGGATTGGGGGATGTTAGTGGATGGATCAGTGCTGGAGTGAGACGTGTCTACCACAGATGTCATGTCCCTGTGCCACCCCCTGCCTGCCTGCTCTCCTTTCTGGGCTTGACTACCATCTCCTGCCCCACAACTCCATGCCCTCCTTCCCTTGAGTGTCCCCATGCCTTCCCCGAGACCATACTCCATTCATAGAGACTTCTCTTTCTGCCTTCCATCTCAAGATCCGCACCAGCGTTCCCCATTCCCCATGACTGCACACTTTTCCCTCGATGCCTGTCCCCCAAAAATTGTGTGACCAGCCAGGAGACTCACATGGCAGGAGTGGCCAGCTCTGGGGCTCTCATTCGCGTGCCATCCTTCAGCCGCTGGCAGAACTCCTCGTTGATCTGCACCCCAGGGTACGGAGAGGCCCCTGATGGAGGAAAAGTGGTGGGGTGGGTGGGGTGGGGAGCACCCCCTCTGTTCAGTCCGGCCTATCTTTTTTTTTTCCAAGACAGGGTTTCTCTGTAGCTTTGGAGTCTGTCCTGATTCACTCACTAGACCAAGCTGGCCTCGAACTCATGAAGATCTGCCTGCCTCTGTCTCCCGAGTGTTAGGGTTAAAGGTGTGTGCCACCACCATCAGGCAAGCCCAGTCTATTTTGTCTCTTCCTCTCTTCTACATTGTTACTGGTGTCAGTATGATGTCTCTACCCAGGGGCTGGGCTAGCTGCTAGCCCTCCCCTCCACCCTTTAGTTTTCCATCTAATTAAAAGAGGCTGAATGGGGCTAGAGAGATGTCTCAGCAGTTAGGAACACTTGCTGCTCAGTCATGAAGACAAGAATTCACATCCCAACACCTAGGTCACAAGCTGGGCATGGGGCACATGCCTGTAACTCCTGATCCAAACAAGGCAGAGACAGGAGCATCACTGGGGATTGCTGGCTTCTAGAATAGCCAAGAAAATGCCAGCCTAGTTCTTGGATTTACCCTGCCTCAGAGGAACAGACAGAACACCTGATGTCCTTTTCTGACCTCCAAGGGCACGTGCACAAGCACATGTACCCATGTAACCCACACACAGATGTGCACATTCTCTCCCACCACATAAACAGACAAACAAATAAATCTTTAAAATAGGATTGGTGAAATTGCTTGTTTGCTAGGGTACCACGAGCACCCACATAGTCAACGTGGGTTGTGAGACTAGTTCCTGGGATAGGGGTACAGCCTCACAGAACCTGTTCAACAAAGTCTGGAACTTCCCAGAATCTTCCCGCTCCTGTTTTTAGTAACAATGTTTCGTGACTGCCATTCAGTGACATTGATGTTTTGCTCATCATCCTCTTCCACCCTTCAGGAGGCCTTCACCCTGTTCCCATGTGGGATTTGTGTAAGCAGGTGTAACTGAATGCAGTGGTTTGCGGTTTAAGGGAGAATGGCCCCCAAAAGCTCATATATTTGAATGCTTGGCCACCAAGGAGCTGAACTGTATGAAAGGAT